TCCGCCGTCTAGCCTGAACGAGGATCTTTCGAAAATTAGTCAACGGTTTCTCACAGTTTATTATTCATTTTAGGCATCATCTAAGGCCCGTATCGTCAGTCGTCCCTACAATTGTAGGGCGCCTTTATGACCTCCTTGATTGTCATAGTTTTCTACTTCTCCGTGTCAGAACTCTATTTTGAGGTTATGTCACAAACATCTATTTGCATCAAATTGTGCTTGCTTTTGAGTTATATCATGTTTTATCAGCCTGAAATTTCCTAAAATTTAAAAAGAAAACATACATATCTTCACAATAGGAGAGCGCTGACGCTGACACGGGACAAGTGTAATCTAGAAATTTTTGAAGGAGAGAAAGAGTATGACAATCAAGGAGGCCATAAACGCGCCCTACAATTGTAGGGACGACCGACGATACGGGCCTAAGGGAACAAGTAATTGGATAATAAGATGGAGTCAAACCTAGGTTTTATTGTTTCCAAAATACTATTTTCGCATTTTCTTGTAAATGTTGGGATCACACCTCACCTGTTGTGGTCAGTTATTCAAGAGTTTGCATTTTTAATGACAAATCTGTAAAAAATAATGTTTCCGGAGCTGATATCACTACAAAAACAAAATTGTATTTTTAAAAAAACATTATTTAATATCAGTCTTTGAGGTGTTGATTGTAATATGTTCTGCAAATTCACTCGAGAAATAGTTCTTCAGTTTCTTGATCCGGTAATAGGAAGGTTACATTTGACTTCCTTTTGCGTTATAAAAATCTTTAGTGAGTTTACAGTCAATAAACATCGCTAATGCTTCTAAACGAGAAACTAGCTATATAACTCTGCTAGTATCATGCGCTTAATATTCTCTTTAAATAATAATATTGCCCATTTTTTATCTCATTATTCAACTGATTATACAGGGTGACCCAAGGAAAAGGGCGCACCCCCATTTGTGACTCTCCTGGTATATTTTGGGAAAAACGCTCGGATATGTCAATTTCGATTTCTAAGGGTAAGTCTTTTCATCTATAGCCGGACTATACAGGGTGATCCTAAAGTAAGATATTGCCTTACACTTTAGATTTTTAAATGGAAAAATACACTCATCCGAGAAAAAATATTAAATAACAGATTTGCATTGTAGATTAAACGTTGGGACATTCATTCACAAAACTCTAACGTTCTATCAAAATCGTCTTCATTCAGCGTATAGAAAAGTTTTATCTTGTACGGTTTAAATTTATTGTCTTTCAAAATTCTTTCTACTGTTTTCTCAAACATTTCAAATGTATCACCCTGTATATTTGTGCAAGTTTTTTTTTTTTATATCGAAGCAGCCGCGCAGGCAGAAGCCTAAATGCCGGAACACCGCGGCTGCTATGATGATCCCAAAGAAATTTTGTTAATACGATTTTTGAACTGCCTAAGGTTAGTAGAACTGGGAAAAGCTTCTTCCCGTAGTTTGTTCCACAATCTAGACACCCTCGAGATAAAGCAGCGGTCGTATCGGCCAGTTCTGGATGTACGAAGTTTGACACAGTTAGGATGGGACGCCGAAGTCAGGCGGGTCTGTCTGGCAGGAACATCGCGCGGCGGCATCATGGAAGAGAGCTCTGAGGAGCAAAGCCCGTTGGTGTAGCGATAGAAAAGAGCTAGATCGCCGACGGCCCGCCGGTGCGAAAGAGTCCCGAGACTGTCTGTTAGAGAAGAGTCATCGATCAGTCGGACCGCCCTCCTATGGACAGCATCGAGCATGGACAATGTAGTCGGGGCGGCAGCACCCCAAATGTGTGAGCAATACTCGAGGCTAGGCCTTATCTGGGCCTTGTATAGAGTGAGAAGGTCATGCGGAGAAAAGTACTTCTTAGCCCTAAACAAATAGCCTAGCTTTTTCCCAGCAGCTGCAGCTATTGAAGAGATGTGTTCGTGCCAGATCAGGTCCTCGGTGATCTGGACTCCGACCAGCCGAAATGAATGGCTCTTTGGTAGAACTCGACCGTCCATCGAAACTGTATGAGCGCTAGGACGCTTTTTGTTCGTCAAGGTACAGTACTGTGTTTTGGAAGCATTGAACTGTACAAGATTGTTGCGTCCCCAAGCAGTGATAGCCTCCAGGCCTCTTGTCAGAGAAGAAGTCGTCGCTAGTCTTCTTTTTTCCAGCTCAGCGGCAGAGATCGGCTTGTCACTCTGAATTCCTGCATGTAGAGTGCTGTCATCAGCGAAGCTGTGGATTGGGTTGATCGTGCAGGAAAGGAGGTCGTTGATATGTAAGAGAAACAGTGTTGGAGCCAAGACCGATCCCTGGGGAACACCCGCGTTGACGTTGTGGGATGAAGAGGAGAATCCGTCAATTATGACGGATATCTTGCGGCCAGAGATAAAGTCAGCCACCCATCTGCAAAGCTTTTCTGGGAGGCCGTAGGATGGAAGTTTGCTTAAGAGGGCAGCGTGCCACAGCTGATCGAACGCTTTCGTGATGTCAAGAGCAACGACATGAGCCTCACCATGAGACTGGATGAGTTTACTCCACAGTTGCGTGACGTAAGCTAGGACGTCCCCTGTGGATCGTTGGTGCCGGAAACCGTACTGCCTGTCGCTAATCAAGCTGTGACGTTCGAGGTAGTCCAGAAGCTCGCGATTTATGCACCTCTCCATCACTTTACTTATAACAGAAAGCAGAGCTATAGGCCTGTAGTTGTAAGGGTCGGTTTTAGATCCTTTTTTTGGGATGGGCTGTACATGAGCAAATTTCCAGTTTTCTGGGAAGGTGCCGGATTCATAAGATATCTGGAAGAGACGCGAAAGAACTGGAGCAAGCTCCGCTGCACATCTCTTCAGTACAATGGCAGGAATCAAGTCCGGACCAGAAGCTTTGTTGATGTCGAGCGACAAGAGCACTCGTCTTACGGTCTTATGCCTGAATGTTACTTCCCGCATAGTGTGGGGAACCCTTTGAATTGACGGCATTTGGGCGTTGGTGGGGACGTCCATGGTGGAGTTGGCAGCAAAGATCTTGGCTAGCACTTCCGCCTTGGCCTTTGAGTCGAATACAATAGTTCCATCCTGACACGTAAGTGGTGGAAGGCTACTGTGTGAGAAGTTCTTTTCAATCTGCTTGGCCAGCGTCCAGAAAGACCGACTGCCATTGCGCTGCGACATTACCCTGTGCCTAACTTTTATATCATGCTGGTTTTTGGCATTGCGAACCGCTTCGTTATATTTGTTTCTGGACTCGACGTCGGCGTGTCTGTTCTCTACAGTGGGGTTTTGTAAGTAGGTTCTGTGGGCCGTGATCTTCTGCTGGCGAGCAGGGTCACACGATTTGTTGAACCAGCCGTTGGACCCTGGTTTAGGAACTTTCACTGTGTGAGGGATATATTCCTCCATTCCGACGTGGATAATTTCGGTTATTGAAGAACAGACAGTCGACGCATCCGCGTCAGTGAAACAGACATCTCTCCAAGGAAAGCTAGAGAAGAAGTCTCTGAGCCCCTCCCAGTCGGCATGTCCGTAATGCCAAGTTTTGCGGCCTGTGCGAGTTTCTGCTGCCACAGCGGCTTCTGACCGAAACCTAACCTCCACAACACCGTGATCTGAATTACCCAGACAGGACAGCAGTGCTGTAAGGGGCAGGATGCGTGGTCAGAAAGAGATCTAGCAGGCTACTGGCGTGTGACGAGACGCGGGGGAAAAAAGTAGGGCTCGTCACCAGCTGGGTCAGCCCTTGAGTAAGAGCGAACGCTTCGACTGCACGACCTGCTGCATCGGTCTTATTTGAGCCCAACCAAAGCTCATTATGGGCATTGAAATCACCGAGAAGAACTACCTCTGAAGCGGGGTGATTGATGTTCAGGAAGTCGATCTGGACGGCGAGGTATTCGAGTAGGTCATCCCAGTTATGGTTCGAGGGAGAGCGATAAAGGCAGCAAATAAATTTGGGTGATGTTTTGGAGTTGAGGCGAAGCCACAGAATGTCCTTCCGGTCTGATTCCAAAGAAAGATCCCTGGAGCAGGAAAGACTGCTGCGGACAAAAGCCACAATTCCCCCGTTCTTTCTCAGATTGGAGTGCACCTCGTAGTTTGGATGATGTGATTTTTTCCTTGATTTTGGTGTTGTTCTATTAAAAGCTTAATAACTCAAAATCTAGTGATTTTATCTGAATCAAACCTTATACCATAAAAAACTGAATCCAAACTCGTACAAATATACAGGGTGATGCATTTGAACTTTTTGAGAAAAACGACAATTCGCGTTTTTGACCACCCTGTACGAACAAACACGAAAATTCGAAAAAGTAACAAATAAGATAAAAGCTGAGGTATGTAAGTTTTTTTTGATACAAAATTCAGCTCTCCAAATTTCAAAATGGCGGATTGAGGGGCTGCCGAAGTGGACGGTTTTTCCGGACAAAATACCTTACATCTCAGTAGCTAATTACCAAAACCCCACAGTATGTTATATCAATCTTCTTCTTTTGAATTTGTTTATCCAAATATGCAATAAAATTTGAGGCATTTCATTTAAAAAATCACAACTCTTGATATGTAGGTCAAAATTGGGACACCTTGTATAATTGCCAATAATTTAGAAATGTGCCCTCAAATGTCATGTATAACATGCCATAAATAGATTTATCCCAAATGAATTCGTTTATGTGTAATATTCCGTCCACACATGGATGGGCCACCCTGTATTTATGGCAAACCCTTTTTTCCGCGTTGAAGAATACTGAACATCAGACTTGTGACTTGTATTATTACAAACGGTTTATTTTTAATCTGTTTTCAATCTGTTCGTCCGTATTTTTTTTGTGTATTTGTTATTCACATCTTTTTAATTTGTTTCTTCAAGTTGTTATTTTGTTTACATTATGTTTGTGCTATATAATTTATTGTAGTCTTGACTGGATAACAACTTTTTAAGTATTTTTTTCTCATTCATGTTCCTTGTCAATTTTCCCAAGTCAAATGGCAATAACGATATTATTTATTTACTGAGTAACTTACTAGGCTTGGTAGCAGCTGGCCGGACAGGTTGAACGCTCCCGTACACCCCAGTCGGCGTCCCGCTCTGCTTGAACAAATGGTGATACCCCAGCAACCCATCGTGATGGTGCTGCGGTAGAAACGCGCCCCCGTTGTGCCCCACATCGTCCCTGCAGCATCGGTAGAGCGATGATATGCAACCGGAACAGGGCAGGAGCACTGTTGGTGTGGGCTTTGCGATCGTCGTTGATGGTGACGATTCGGTCATCGAAGGACCAAGTGGTGACGATGTTGAACGGTAGTTCGGAGGGGAGGGGCAACGTCCATCTTTCGGGGCTGGAAGAGAGAGAGACCAAGAAATAGGACGGTTGAGTAGAGGTGAAATCGATTATAGTTCCAGGTAGGGAAAAAATTTAGCCGTACATATAACCCTCTCAAACTCGGAAAGTTAAGTGAAATTAACGCGTCTGCGAAGTCTAGGCATGATAATGCAATGAAACAACAAATAAACAAATGGAACCAACACAGAAAAATCACCGAATATTAAGCAAGCATGTTCATATTGTTCGGATCCTGATATGACAAAAAAGCCTTAAAAAAACAGTACGGCTCGCAATGCCTTTAACATTTTATCAGCAAATGTGCTTACAAGTTTTTGTCAAAATTCAATAAATAATTCTGTTTGTATATTTACTCTCAAAAGTGCCGAAAGAGCCGGGAGAAAGTTTTGAGATCATAGTTCTTCAATTCAACAAGTAGAATGAAAACTTACACCTATTAGTTGTTGCTTCATCTGGCTTCTTTATTTCCGTAGATGCAGAAGATAGAAGCCTGTCGATACCAAACTTCAGTTTGCCGACTTCCTTTTGTACAAATGTTGTTCTAAAAGTTGTAGATTGACTGCCCGCGCTGCCAGTGTCCATGATGCTCAGTCTGGAAACGGCTAGCTAGTGGAGTGTACCAATTTAAGAGACATGAAAAATGTTACAGTCTGTTAAGCGTCTATTAAAATTTAACAGCAAGACATGCAAATAAATAGTTTTGAAAACGTCTAAACAGTTTGTTTATATAAGCAGAACTGGCCAGAATGTTCCTCATTTAAAAAGCCATAAATGGTCTAAAATAGATGTATTATGGGGCTGTATAAAATGCGGAAACTAGATTGATTCTAGCTTTACACATAGAACTAGCCAATTTTTATACTAAAAGAAAAACATATTACACTTATATTCCTTGAATGAACCAAGAATTGAAACCAAAGGCAAAAACATTTTCCGCAATCTTTGGACATAATCGTGACTCATTTTCACTTTGCTTAAACATTCCTGAAGTTAGTTTCTTGAGGGCTATTTTATGTTACTTAGTATAAAATATGGCTTTCAAACAAATTAGAGAGTAGACCGAAATGCGGTATTACCAAAAACAATTTCGTACATGACAAAGCTATGCCGTAAATATGTACTGCAATGGGGACTTTATTGAAAGCACAATTACTCGTGTGAGAACTGCAATTTTTTCTGTTTTGGGGAGTTATCCCTTATGTCTACAGAATCACTCCATAATCCCCTGATTTTTTGAAAAATATACCGTAAAGGTGTACTGCAATGAGGACTTTATTGAAAGCACAATTACTCGTGTGAGATCTGCAATTTTTTCTGTTTTAGGAGTTATCCCTTATGTCTACAGAATCACCCCATAATCCCCCGATTTTTCGTAAAGCTATGCCGTAAAGGTGTACTGCAATGAGGACTTTATTGAAAGCACAATTACTCGTGTGAGATCTGCAATTTTTTCTGTTTTGAGGAGTTATCCCTTATGTCTACAGAATCACCCCATAATCCCCTGATTTTTCGCAAAGCTATGCCGTAAAGATGTTCTGAAATTGGGACTTTATTGATAGCACAATTATTCGTGTGGGATCTGTAATTTTTTGTTTTGAGGGGTTATCCCTTATGTCTACAGAATCACCCCATAATCCCCTGATTTTTCACAAAGCTATGCCGTAAAGATGTTCTGAAATTGGGACTTTATTGATAGCACAATTATTCGTGTGGGATCTGTAATTTTTTGTTTTGAGGGGTTATCCCTTATGTCTACAGAATCACCCCATAATCCCCTGATTTTTCGCAAAGCTATGCCGTAAAGGTGTACTGCAATGAGGACTTTATTGAAAGCACAATTACTCGTGTGAGATCAGCAATTTTTTCTGTTTTGAGGAGTTATTCCTTATGTCTACAGAATCACCCCATAATCCCCTGATTTTTCACAAAGCTATGCCGTAAAGGTGTACTGCAATGAGGACTTTATTGAAAGCACAATTACTCGTGTGGGATCAGCAATTTTTTCTGTTTTGAGGAGTTATCCCTTATGTCTACAGAATCACCCCATAATCCCCTGATTTTTCACAAAGCTATGCCGTAAAGATGTTCTGAAATTGGGACTTTATTGATAGCACAATTATTCGTGTGGGATCTGTAATTTTTTATTTTGAGGAGTTATCCCTTATGTCTACAGAATCACCCCATAATCCCCTGATTTTTCACAAAGCTATGCCGTAAAGATGTTCTGAAATTGGGACTTTATTGATAGCACAATTATTCGTGTGGGATCTGTAATTTTTTGTTTTGAGGGGTTATCCCTTATGTCTACAGAATCACCCCATAATCCCCTGATTTTTCACAAAGCTATGCCGTAAAGATGTTCTGAAATTGGGACTTTATTGATAGCACAATTATTCGTGTGGGATCTGTAATTTTTTGTTTTGAGGGGTTATCCCTTATGTCTACAGAATCACCCCATAATCCCCTGATTTTTCACAAAGCTATGCCGTAAAGGCGTACTGCAATGAGGACTTTATTGAAAGCACAATTACTCGTGTGAGATCTGCAATTTTTTCTGTTTTGAGGAGTTATCCCTTATGTCTACAGAATCACCCCATAATCCCCTGATTTTTCGCAAAGCTATGCCGTAAAGATGTTCTGAAATTGGGACTTTATTGATAGCACAATTACTCGTGTGAGATCTGCAATTTTTTCTGTTTTGAGGAGTTATCCCTTATGTCTACAGAATCACCCCATAATCCCCTGATTTTTCGCAAAGCTATGCCGTAAAGGTGTACTGCAATGAGGACTAAAGTCCTGAGCATTGAAAGCACAATTACTCGTGTGGGATCAGCAATTTTTTCTGTTTTGAGGAGTTATCCCTTATGTCTACAGAATCACCCCATAATCCCCTGATTTTTCACAAAGCTATGCCGTAAAGATGTTCTGAAATTGGGACTTTATTGATAGCACAATTATTCGTGTGGGATCTGTAAGTTTTAGTTTTGAGGGGTTATCCCTTATGTCTACAGAATCATCCCATAATCCCCTGATTTTTCGCAAAGCTATGCCGTAAAGATGTTCAGGAATTGGGACTTCATTGATAGCACAATTATTCGTGTGGGATCTGTAATTTTTTGTTTTGAGGAGTTATCCCTTATGTCTACAGAATCACCCCACAATCCCCTAATTTTTCGCAAAGCTATGCCGTAAAGGTGTACTGCAATGAGGACTTTATTGAAAGCACAATTACTCGTGTGAGATCTGCAATTTTTTCTGTTTTGAGGAGTTATCCCTTATGTCTACAGAATCACCCCATAATCCCCTGATTTTTCGCAAAGCTATGCCCTAAAGATGTTCTGTAATTGGGACTTTATTGATAGCACAATTATTCGTGTGGGATCTGTAATTTTTAGTTTTGAGGGGTTATCCCTTATGTCTACAGAATCACCCCATAATACCCTGATTTTTCGCAAAGCTATGCCGTAAAGGTGTACTGCAATGAGGACTTTATTGAAAGCACAATTACTCGTGTGAGATCAGCAATTTTTTCTGTTTTGAGGAGTTATTCCTTATGTCTACAGAATCACCCCATAATCCCCTGATTTTTCACAAAGCTATGTCGTAAAGATGTTCTGAAATTGGGACTTTATTGATAGCTCAATTATTCGTGTGGGATCTGTAATTTTTTGTTTTGAGGGGTTATCCCTTATGTCTACAGAATCACCCCATAATCCCCTGATTTTTCACAAAGCTATGCCGTAAAGGTGTACTGCAATGAGGACTTTATTGAAAGCACAATTACTCGTGTGAGATCTGCAATTTTTTCTGTTTTGAGGAGTTAACCCTTATGTCTACAGAATCACCCTGTAATCCCCTGATTTTTCTCAAAGCTATGCCGTGAAGATGAACTCCTATGGAGTCTCTACAACATACATGAGTTTGTTGGTGGCACAACTCTTCGTTTGGGATCTGCGAATTTTTCTGATTTAAGGAGTCAACCACACAAAATCACCCAGTATTTCCCTGAGTTTTCGCAAAACTATGCCGTTAAGATCTACTGCAATGGGGTCTCTACAACATATATGAGTTTGTTGGTGGCACAATACTTCGATCGAGATCTGCGAATTTTTTTCTGTCTGGAGGAGTCAACCCTTATGTCCATCCAATTATATGTAAAATTAATAGTCATTACTTTTCTTCAATTTCATTCTTACGTGTTCGCTGCCGGTTTTTCCATAAAGTAGCTTTGCTGTTACACACTCAGTTGCTTCGGTAAAGGAAACTCACAGCTTTCAAGACATCACAGTCAATCCTCTTATCTTCAAAGCGAGAGATGCGTCTTTGTCCTTTAATTTCTTGAAAACCAGCGATGAAAGGAGGATAACATACACGAAATTAACCAAACCGCCGGAACTTCCACACCCGCAAAACAATTCACGTTCGAACTTAGCACAAAAAACACCACACGCGTCTACCGTACTTAGCGCCAAATCCCCGTGTCTCGGACTTTACGCGCAGTGTCAGCGTAAACCTCGTTAGCGCCAGTCGGTAATGACATGAACTGCCTCTATCTAGAGGTGGTCCGTAAGCCAGGAAGCTGCCGGCACTTAAGGAGGAGTTAAGTCAGGAATGAGCTGCGATTGGCCGACAGTTTAAGTAGTATCCAGTCAACGCGTGCCTCTTTCTTGCTCTCGGAGCTGGGACACACGTAAATTCTTGGTTAAACCTGAATGAGTCATTCCGTGGTCTTTTGATTGGACTTTTGGGAGGCTTCATATTTAAGCTGAAAATTTTGTATTCTCAATGTATGACCTGAAACTCTATACTTGAAATTGTGCTGATTGCACTCTGCATAAGGAAGATGGATAAATAGGGGAGTTTCAAATTCAGCCTTTACTATCGGGATCTCGGAAATTGTAAGTCGTTTAAATCAGGACACAGTTGCGTATTGTGGTAACTAACAAAATGCCGTATAGGAATATTCGGAGTGAGACAGAAAAAACGGATTCCTCCTAAAATCGTTTTAATTTTGTCTTGACCTTATTTAAAGTGGGATTTCAAGATAAATTGCACATTAGCATTGCCAGCTTTTCTCCTGTACAAGATGGCATAATTAGAACTTAAGTATGACGTTTCGTCTCTTGCCCTAGAGTTTTTAATTATGATTCCAAAAATGTACATTGACATTGCCAAGTCATTTCAAAAAGCAGAATTTCCTAGGTATGCCTTGAAATTATCATATCATTTGTTTGGCCTACTAGATTTATCCCGAAATAATTTGTTTCTTTTCCTGACTTTATTTGAGATGCCATTTCAGAATAAGTTGCATGTTGCTCAATCAGCTTTTCGATTCGAGATTTCTTCTTTGGACTTCCATCACCAAGTTTGTTGTTTCATACGACGCTATATTGATATTTTGTAATTCAGCGATGTATTTCCTTACTTCGCCATTTCAACGGTCTTTTACGTACCTATAATGCGGTGAAATTGATCAACTCTTTCAAACAATGTTTCATCAGCAACTTTTCTAAAAAAAAATATAAGAACTACTTATTGAGCCCTTAGGTTATTGTCTTCTCTTTGAATCGTACGTATTATTTTTTTTGTCTAATCGTACGCATTATGTCATATTTATTAATTCTCCTTTTACTATTATTCTTCTTTTTCCTTTTCTTTTCAAATTTTTTATTTTATTTTTAAGGTAGTAATAAGCATTGACATGACATTTATGGTTAAGTTTAAATGGCCATTGGCCAGACTTCGCCATTTGTAAGGAAATAAAATTTTGTATAAGTACTTAATGAAGCATAATAAGTAAATGATAAAAATTTCAAAATGATTGCACTGCTTTAAAGCCCTTTGACCTTTAATAATGCGTGGATGCACCCTGGATGTGCTACGCATTCTCCAACGCGCCTAGGCACCTGGGTCAATGTCCTCCTGTGGTATCTCATTCCAGGCAACCACCAATTCCTTTCGAAGTGCTTCTAGAGTCTGAGGAGAACGTTGCAAATTGAGCAATCTCCTACCCATCATATCCCACACGTGCTCAATTGGAGATAAGTCGGGAGATCTTGGTGGCCATGGTAACAATGTGACATCATTATGTTGAATGAAGTCTATTGTGACTCTTGAAACATGTGGTCGGGCATTATCTTGTTGGAAAGTTGGATCTGCCAGGGTGTCAAGATAGGGTAAAAGATGGGGTTCTAGAACTTCGTGGATATAACGCTGCGCGTTCATGTTACCTCTGATGAAGATTAAAGGTGACCTGGAACCATAAGCTATAGCACCCCAAACCATAACTCCAACAGTGTGATGAACATGTCTTTCAACAAAAAACTGTGGATTTCTCCTTTCACCACGTCGCCTTCTAACCCTGGCACGTCCATCGTGCATGCCTAAACAAAATAGAGACTCGTCACTAAAGACAATACTGTTCCATTCCTGATCCCAGAGTGACCGTTGTCTGCACCACTCAAGGCGATTACGTCGGTGTTCTCGAGTTAAAGGGAGGACCCAGTGTGGCCGGTATGAAAACAAGCCAAAACTTCTCATTCGTCGGTAAACACTTAGCATGCCAATAGGTCTTCCGTGTTCTGCAAACCATTCATTTGCAATGGACCTGGTAGTGGAGAAACGGTCCCTTAAGGCCAATAATCTTAGGCGGCGATCTTCACGGTCTGTTGTTCTACGGCGGCGTCCAGTGCCCCTTGCTCTTTGCGTACGGCCTTCTCGAAGCCATGCCTGACAACACCTAACCACAGTGTCTACACTTCTTTGCACTCTGACTGCAATTGCCCGAAAAGAAAGTCCAGCTTCCCGAAGTCCCACTATACGGCCCCTATCAAGCTCACTAAGTTGACGAAATCGTACAGGTCTCCGTACTCTAGGCATCGTAACCGATCGTAAAGGATGTCAAGAACCAAAATCCGCCAACGTTGATTCTTTACTGCGGCTGAAATATTCATTTTTAGAGCGTTAGTGAATTAAAAAAAAAGCAGTACAAAAACCAGAAATTTTTTCACTTGTTATTTACAGTAAGATAAATACATTCACCAACTTTTATTAAAATAAAACGGTTTAAACTGGGTGTTCGGATTTATATGTCACTTAGTATATGTGTTACAATAAAGTCCATTGAATTGAAATTAAATTGAATTGAAATGAATTTGTTGCTGGATGAAAATTATATAGAACTAAAAAGGTATGGTGAAACTTGAACACAAAATGAAAATTTTATTGATTTCAATAACAATAATAATCATAAATAAGCAGGGTTGCCATACTGGGGATTTTCCCCCAAATTTGGGGGAATCTTACGCCCCGTGGGGAATTTTTTGGGATAAAATATTTGGTGGGTTTTTTGTAGGAAAAATAAAGGCGTTGGGTATTTTCGAGGTATTTTCTTAAATGTTTAACTACGAAGAACTGTCCTTTGCTAAATAACAATTTTATCTTTCTGCTCAGTTAATTATTTTTCATTATTACATTTAACATTCCGAATTTACCAATAATAACCGTGTGTTCGGACTCTATGGTTTACGGTGGCTATATTTATACGCTATGGGTTGTATGAGTTTCTTGTTTATTGACGCAGAGGCAAATTATCCTGATGGTTCTGATTATATTGCCACCGAGAACATAAACAAGAGGTTATACGATGTCGAAGAAAGGAGTTTATACGAGGATAGAAGGATATTTTTTTCTAAAGCAGCTGCAAACATCAACTTCAAATTAAACCTCAATTTTCATTTTTCAAATTTCGTTGCTACAAGCGTATACTGGTGTCAAAAATGAGAGATACCCGGCTCTGGAATGAAAACACAAAATGCCTAATAGCCAAATGAACTTTATTCTAAATAAAAATTTTCGCCATTCAAACTAAACAAAATTAACCAGCCATTCCTGCCGCAGTGCCAAGCGCCATCTCTCCCATTTCAGCCCCTGTCGCTCCGACTTGTCCTGCCAAATTTGCACCTTTTCCTGCTATTTTGCCTGCCATTTCAGCTGCTGCAGAACCCATTTGTCCCATTGTGCCTGCCATCTGTCCCATTCCGCCGCCCATGGGTGGAGCTTCGCATACAGCATATGCCTAAAAGCATTTCAACAAATGTCATCTCCAAATCTGTATTCGAGAGTCACGGAAACGAAAGGGGTGGATTTATAATATGCAATTTTGTGATGAGTAGCGTATGCCGTTCTTGACCAAATAAACTTATTTATGTGGCTTGAGACCTTTTTAAGACTTCAGGAAGATTCAGATTTTTTTCGCATCTGACACAGTCGAAAACAGACCGTTTACGCTTTCAGCTGCGTATCTGTCACGAAAATTAAATTTTTAAATTACGCTTGGAGAAAAAAATCAATTTATTTTACGAAACTATGCGTTATATTTTTTCGAATCTGTTATCAGCAAATCTTTGTTCCTCATTTCAATCGAAATTGGGCAAGACACATGATTTCAGGGTTTATATAAGTCTTATAACTTTAGATTTCTCGAAATAAAGTAGGCTTAGGCCCCAAGCCCTCCAAGTATGCGTCGAATCAAGTTACCCATGCTCCCTGCTAAAAGCAAGAACATATTCTACAGAATCCACACACTGTTACTCAAATCAAAGCATCGAAGCACCAACAATATATGGTGTGTATATTAAGGTCGAAGTTGGCCATGTTTGGTGTTGTTATTATGACAGCGGTTTGTTGACGTTTTACAATTTAGACCATGGCCAACTTCGAACAATCGCTTAGTCTAGTTGTCTAGTTTGGTTTTACAATCGTACTATTTTTACCTATACAGGGTGTTTCAGTTTATTGTTGCATAACTTTAAAATTCGATAGAACTTTTAAAATTAATGCGTAAAGTCTATATAAACACGGGTCGAAAAATGCGTGGCCTCCGAAATACAGGGTGTTTAAATTTACTTTCTAAAATAGTTTTTTTTTAAATATCTCGAGCAATATTTGATGTATAACAGTGAAAATTGGTATACAAGGGTTTTTTGGTACGACAAAACGAACCATGGGCATAGTTTTACTGTAGCCGCTAGAGGGCGCTCTCTACTGTAACTGTAGTATATTTAAATGACCAAAAATTTTTTCTTAGTGCAATTTTTTGCTTTTTGAATAAAAAAAACTGATTCTTCGCACTTTTCAACATAAAAAAGCTCTCCTGTAAGTTTTCGTTATAGTTAGCCGTCTTTGAGATATTTCGTTTTTTAAGGTTCGATGCATTTTTAATTATTTATGGGAAAATAATATTTTTTTACATTTTCGATTTGGGCATTACAAGTAATTAAGATGATCGTTTAGATTGTGTTTTTAAACACAGCAATAATTCCTAACTTCAAATAAACACAAAAAAATAGAATATTAATTTGTTTAATTTTCCAGTATTATTTTTAACAAATTAAATTGATTATTTACAACTAAAATGCTATTGGATAGTTAGGACATACATACAAAATCTAAAGCAGTTGCTCGAAATGTAAACCCAATTGTTCAATACACAATTCACATCTACGAATGATCGAACGTGGTATAGCATTATTCAAATAAGGCCTTATTTCATCACATGCATTTTTATAAAACCTACAAAAAAAAAACAGGTAAAAGAAACTAAATTTCGTGCAGTCACAATTGCAAAACAACGTTTCAGGTTTCAACAGACAACAAAACTAACTGTCAACTAATTGACGTTTAACCTTATTCTGCTTTCAATTTCAAAAATATTTGCAGGCACAGCCTACTTCTAAAAATTATCGAGATACTGACTTTTTAACGTATTTTATCATAAGTAATTAAAAATGCATCGAACCTTAAAAATCGAAATATCTCAAAAACGGCTAACTATAACGAACATTCACAAGAGAGCTTTTTTATGTTGAAAAGTGCGAAGAATTAGTTTTTTTATTCAAAAAGCAAAAAATTGCACTAAGAAAATTTTTTCGGTCATTTTAATACACTACAGGTACAGTAGAGAGCGCCCTCTAGCGGCTACAGTAAAACTATGCCCATGGTTCATTTTGTCGTACCAAAAAACCCTTGTGTACCAATTTTCACTGTTATACATCAAATATTGTTCGAAATATTTAAAAAAAACTATTTTAGAAAGTAAATTTAAGCACCCTGTATTTCGGAAGCCACGCATTTTTCGACCCATGTTTATATAGACTTTATGCATTAATTTTAAAAGTTCTATCGAATCTTAAAGTTATGCAACAATAAACTGAAACACCCTGTATATTTATTATAATTGTTTATTAAATTGAATATGGTCTTTTGCAATCGGCAATTTCGGACATAATTTTAGAATTCGAAAAGACTTCTCAAGATTGCGATACGAAATGTATATTTTATGGGTTTTTTATGGCTCTTTATTATGGTCCAAGACTAATTTTGAATAATTATGAAATGGAGATACAAATTGGGACTTCACAATATTACATATTTTAACTGCAAGAAATACATTTGAAGAAAGATTTTTTGAGTGACCACACAGCTCATTTTTTTAACTTATATATACGTATAGGCGTTTATGCTTTTGGTTGGTACGATAATCGTGCCATGAATTAAGCGAATATTCCTGAACTGCATTACTGGTAAGACTCAGTGTTTTCGATGTTTTTTTACCGTTAGCTTTGACTTTGATTCCACCTTTTGACATCATTAATCATCAATCACTTATGAACAAAATAGCATCATTAAGCTAAAGTATGTACCGCACCACCATAGACGCTTTAGGATAATCAAAAATGATCGAGTAATAAAAATAAGGCTCAGGCTTTGAAAATGTCTGAAATTCACATTAGAACCAACGAAAAACTTTCGAAAAATAGGCACCCGATTTTTTCGAATACATTTTGATCTTTATACAAAAACAGAAAACTTAAAACGCAATGTTGAGAAATTTCTAATTTTTCAGCAAATTTAATATTTTAGATTATTTGATAAAAAAATCAAAAGTACTCACAAAGCAGCAGAAGAGGACGAAAGTTTTGAGGGTGCTGTTCATTTTGACGAAGTGGCGAAAACTCGGAATGCAAAATTTCATGAGAAGCATCGTGCTTTTAAACTATTGCCATTGCCAATTTTTGCGAAAAAAAATCTGCGCGTCTGATACGATTTTAATGTTCGATATTGTATGTAGTTTTTTTATAGTTATTATTTCATAATTATTTGGTTCTGAACCATGCACATTCGGATGAAAAAAAGTTGTTCCATGAAATTTTTGTGACTTATTGACGTATAATTTTCATATCAGGTAATTGCATAATACAATCATGTCGGATGGCGGTGCCAACTGTATAAAAAATTAAATTATAGTAATTAAGCTGAAATAATTTTGTTAGAATTGTCACTACATTATAGAGTTATTAAAGGTGTATTTTGCCACGGGTTAGGTTTGAATTTAGCTTGATCTCATCTAGACTTCTTTATACGAATGCCTCCAAGACTATACTATAACTATCTAAAAGGTGTAATGACTCATCGATGTTCACGTGAACATCACTTAACTACCAGTAGTCGGCTGTTCATAGGCGGGGTATGAATGTTTAACATGGGTGAACTAGATTTGTCACATGCTTAATAAAAAGTGGTTTGAATTGAAACATATTGTAAGTCAAAAATTTGGGAATTACCTTTATTCATCGTCGCTTCCACTTACATCTGACAGTAATAAACTGTCGCTATCGCTTTCCTCGTTGAAATTGACTATAACTGGCTCTATGATGGTGTCGATGTGGTGGTTAAGCTGCCACATTTTTGTTTCTTCCTTCACAACATGACGGATAGCATTCTGCCAAGCTTCGGGCGTTACTAGCTGTATGGAAGTCTCAAGTAAAACCTTAACGTCTGGTAATTTGATGGTTGTGTTATGGCGCGCAATATAACGCTTCACTTGAGCCCAGATGAGCTCTATCGGGTTCAGTTCACAGTGGTAGGGCGGTAACCGCAGCACAGTGACACCACATTGACGGGCCATCTCATCAGTCACGTAACTAATGTTCGCAGGTTTGTGCTGTTTAATTTTTTCATACAATTCCGCTTTCACACATGAATCGTCAAACGGGATTCCTTTTTCGCGCAACCATTGCTGCATGTCACTTTTTCGAGATCCCATAGTCGGTACACGTTCGGCTCGACGACTATGGTAGGAAGCATTATCCATGACGATCACAGAGTTGGGTTCAACTCGCTGAAGCACCCCTTGAAACCAGCTCTCGAAGCAGCTGGCATTCATTTCGTCATGGTTATCACCTCCTTTCTTAGAGACGAAAATCAAGTCACACTCTTCTAAAAAGCCACTATCGCTACCAATATGAGTTACGATCAATCTTTGACCTTTCCCTGAGGGTCCACGAAGACCTGTTGACAAACCTTCAATGCTTGCTTGTCGGTTACTCACTACGTTTTTGTCTATCCAGGTTTTTTTAACTGTGTGACCTGCATTTACCCATGTCTCGTCCAAATAATAGATTTTTCTGCTTTGTCGCCTATATTCAATCATTTCGTGTAGGTATTTTCGACGCCAGGCGACTATTTCAGGTCTCTCTATCAATACTGACTTCCGATTACGCGTTTCGTAACGAAAATTAATTTCGTGCAGGGATTTCCTCATTACCTCGACGCTCATTTGGGGTATAATTTCATTTTCCTTGATCGCTGCATGTACAACCTTGAGGGTTGGTATCTTATTCCTAAAGAAGAATGAATGTACGGTTCGCCTTAACGCCATTTTGCTATCGTCATCCAATTTAACGGCCTTTCGTCCCTTCAAATTAAACTTTGGATCAGTAGTAGCTCCAGTTTTCTTCTTTTCATGCACCACCCTGTGAATGGTCCACTCTGGAACACCTGTCATACTTTCACAACGCGCGAGTGCATCTCCCTGCGACATAGTTCTGTTCAGATAATTGAACACGTTGAGTACGATTTCTTTCGCGTCCCTCTTCAGTGCTTTACGAAGCCGTCTACTTGTTCCCTGGCTTTCAGTACTTCTACTCGTGCTATTTGTACTCTCCATGGTTAAGTATAACCAAAACAGTAACCACAGAAACCACAACAATAACAATCACACAACAATTCTTATAAAAACACACAATATGCGATCGCTCAACGAAACACGTTCCAATGCGTTGCCGACGCCTATGAGTCTGCCGGTCGAGGCGCGTCTTTGATTTCATTGGTTCTACCGGCGGAGAACAATCAGCCATTATTTCCATCTCTGTCTGTGCTGTTGACCACTGCAAAGCCACAGAAACGACATATGTCGTACGCTATACGGCTGTACTGGAAGGAAGCCGGGATCGAGCTCTGATCACGTGTTGATCGCGCATATGAGTCATTACAGTTTTAAATAGTTGTAGTATAGGTTAGATTAGTTAGAGTGGTTTTCGGTTAAAAAGTTGTCCCCTTTGACAAATCTTTTGAGGTGTCACGGCGTTTTTTCTTTAAGCAGTGGTTCTCGATAAATATGAGACGGATGCTGTCTGTACGATGCTTAACATTCTGCAATAATAATAAATTCGGAAATCGAATAGTTACAAATCGGCTATTTACATGAACGACGAGAATTATATCCTATTTTTATCTACACATATTTAGTGGCATTTTTATTCAACGAAATATCCATCGATTTCTCGAGGCGACATGTCCAACGAATTCTTAATAAATATCGGAGATGCTGGTACACAGGCCGAGAACCAAGAGCCATACATATATTTTTTCCACACACACAGAAGAGAACATTCACGCAGACTTGCTATAACTTTTCCCGATAATATTTAATAGCTGCTGACCACAGACAGAATTATTGATATATATGCACGCGTATACAGGGTCATTCACAAAAAGATAGCGATGCTTCTATCGCAGTTAGCATAAGTATGATGCATACGCAATTTTCAGTGTCAACGTTTTCTAACTTGAATAATAATCAAAGAAAATTTCTCTATGAGAAATGAGCTGTTAAAAGTTCCTCAAGAAACACATCAGTGCTTGCTTAGTCATTTTATTTTCACATTTATACAAATCATGAAGACTAGAGATAGAAGGCTAAACTGAATCGGGGCACTGCGCAGTAAAAGATTTTCAGGTTCTACGCATGAAGTATTTATCTCTGTTGCTGTCATCATGACTGTGAACAACTCCGATTTTGACATTTCGGACGAGTCGCACGCAGAATTATTGGATAATAATAATTCACGATGTAATGAACCTACAAAGTATGGTAAAATGTGAGTGACATGCACATAAAGATAGCGGCAGGTTATGTTATGCTTTTAAATATGCAGACACTCAACGTCGTGTTCTACGCCCACTAGATTGTCGATAACTACACCAGTTTAACCTGTAGTCTTCGTGGTAAAAACCGCCTGTTACCTACTTTTTCCAAATTTACCATCGCTTGACATTGACATTCCGCTGCGATGACATTGATATCCGTAATGACATTGACAGTTCTGACAGCGATTTGAATTTAAATACATAAATAAAATAAATGCTGACAACAATTTATGTAGAATTTTTTTTAAAATGCAACGGATGTTTCTCTAAAGTCAGCGTCTGTCCCTATGTCCAACACCAACTATACAGAGTGTTCCAGACATACCTACCAATATTTCTATGGTATACTTTCTACCAAAAATAACAAAAAAGTTACAATACGTATAGTGGAAATCACGAAAGATGACGATTACGTCATCATTTTAGTCTGTAGTAAAGAAAAATGACAGCGATTTGTGAATATATTTAATGAAGTTTCTGATATGTTAGACAGAGACAAACAGAATGTTATTGTCTAAACTCTAAACAAACGGTATTGCTAATTTGCATATATCCGACAAAGATAGACGATGTTTTCATGTTGCATGATCGATCATATTTGAAAGATGAATAGTTAGGTTATGTTAAAGCAGGTTATGTTGTTTTCGTGGTATGTTATTTTATCTCGGATAATTTTTTGGATGCGCGAATATAATAACAAATTGGCTATCTTCACGTTAACGGTAACACCCTGTATACGACTACCACGTACTAAAGGCCAGCGATTATCAGCCGATTGAAGAAGGGAGTTATTTAGTAAATATGACGGTGATGGTCTGATTAATAACCATACTCGTAATGGTCACATGCTAATGGTTGGCGTTCATGTTATTAGCATGTAATAAAGTATATAGTTATTCATTTGGGCAGTAATTCTCTCCGCGGGGGGCGGCCGGCCGCCCGCTGGGCAGCCTCACCTTTAATGGGCTTATTTATGTCGTCGAATGGACCACCTCGACCATTGGGCCATCGATGTACCGGGGGCGATCAAAAGTGAGTCGGCCGTTGCGAAAACATCGTAAGTTATTTGTAACAAAGTTGAATTCTTGCTATATCTCGAAAACGATGCATTTTCGGACTGAATGGGCTATGGATTCGGTTTCAGCGACCCAACAGGCGTATTATAAGACATGTCGCGCTCGCGTTCCTGACTGACCCATTTTGTGCCTTTTTGATAACAATACATGATAATTATATCTTAAAATGCTTTAAATGCGGTTGAAATGACCTTTATTCCAGTTATTTTGTTCTGCCATTACCGAATCCGAAGTCGTTTCACGTGTATCTGATCCCGTTTATCATTTAGATGTAATTCACTGATCAACAGCAAAAAAATATCCTAAATAAAATCAACAAAATATTACTATTTTTAATGTGCTAAAACCGGAATGAAACTTATTTTTTCAATATTAGTTCAAGTTTTAGAGATACGATAATTATATGTGTTCCTGCTGAGACAGTGTTAATGTGTTAATGTACAAGAATGCACGTGCTACATTTTTATATTCGGCAAGGAAAGATGATGTAATCGGCATGATTGTGTTACGTTATACATACGTGTACATTATACTGTTTTATATTAGCCATTTTTTCCTCAGTTGGCTGACAGCGTTCATGCAAGATGTCTCGAAAGTGTGTAAACAATCCAGATCAGTTTTGTTACGTGTGTGGTGATGTGACTTTTGCGTCTCAGAGACGGTCTATTACTCCACTAATAACAAAGGCATATCAGCTTTATTTCGGTTGTAAACTAGGTGATCAAGACAAATAGTGGGCACCCCACATCTGCTGTAAAACATGTGCTTCAAGTCTGAGGAGCTGGTTAAATGGCAAAAAACTGTCTATGCGCTTTGCTGTCCCAATGGTTTGGAGAGAGCCTACAAATCATATAAATGATTGTTACTTTTGCATGGTACCTTGTGTTCGACAAGCCACAGGTATGTCCAAGAAAAAAAAATCGGTTATTAACTACCCAAACATACCATCTGCGATGAGACCTGTGCCTCACAGTGACGAAAATCCTATTCCAAAACCCTCAGAATCCTACACTTGCGAATCAGATCATGGCGATCGAGTGATTCGTCAGGAAGAAGATATGCCATCAACGTCAAGAGATCCTGATTTTATACCGAGCACGTCATGCCACCAACCGCACAAAATAACACAGTCACAATTAAATGATCTTGTAAGAGATTTAGAACTTCCAAAATGTAAGGCAGAGTTACTTGGATCAAGATTGCAGCAGTGGAACTTGTTAGAAGACGATGTTTCGGTATGTGTTTTTCGTAAACGCCACAAAGACTTAGAACCATTTTTCAATATGGAGAATAACTTGGTTTTCTGCAGTAACATTAGCGGCTTACTGGCGGCTTTAAATATAAACTAACCCAGAAGTATGCAGTTCACATGAAAGAATCATATGACAATATGAAGTACCTATTGACATGCATAAAATACGATGAGCAGCAATGGCATATTTGTGGCGATTTGAAAGTTGTTGCACTTTTACTTGGGCTGCAGCTAGGCTACACAAAGTTTTGCTGTTTTTTGTGTGAATGGGACAGTCGGGCAAAGGCACTTCATTACACCAGACAAAACTGGCCTGTTCGTCAATTCCTAGAGCCAGGTCAAAAAAATGTACAGCATATGCCATTAGTAGATTCGAAAAAAATTCGCGTTGCTGAATGTGAAGACCACTGTTCGACGCCGTCTTGGTCGTAACCTCGAAAAAAAAAGTCGCAGTGCAAGAAAGTGTGGCCGAAAATCCAGGCATTTCCATTCGGCAAGGTTCAACCACAGCCGACGTCAACTGTTTCTCATATATTATAGTCACCGATCACTTTGAACACATACACACACTTTGAAGCTTAGAAAACAAGCTTATCTCTTAATTACAGCCTCTGGGATTCCAAAATCACAAATTGAAAAGGTTGTTTTCTCAGCGTTTTGAGCACGAGTTGCGTCGATGCAGCAAGCAACACTACCACCTACGTTGCCAGATTTCTTTGTTCACGGCTCGAAGTTGACATCGGCTGTGGTTCAACCACAGGTTCAACTGACGCAAGAACTCAAGCCAACGGACCATGCGCAGCGCCGTGAATTCGTTGATTGGGCGCTGGATCACCACCAAATTCATGCGGATCTGACGTGCAATTCGGTTTTCGGTCTGAACATAGTACGGAGCTACAGGCGGTTAGGCTGGTGGAACGTGTAACCAGGGGATTCACCCTTAACGAAAGTACTGGCATCTTGCTTTTGGATGTCTCAAAAGCATTCGACAAGGTGTGGCACGTGGGCCTCTTGTATAAACTAATCCAAAAGGACTTCCCTTTTTGACTTCTAAAACTACTGAAATCCTTCCTTGAAGGTAGGAAATTTCGGATCAAAATTGACAATGTCCTGTCGACAACACGGCTGGGTTACCAGACCTGGCAGACTTACAAACTGACACTGTGACTTAAGAGCTAAGGTCCCACGAACCGCTCTGACAACCAACGATGACTTGACTGACTTGACTTCATGCGGATTTCTCGAAGAAAATCATTTTCAACTGAACGAGTACGTCAATAAGCAGGACTGCCAGATTTGGGGTTATGAAAACTCTCGTGTAATAGTCAAACAACCAATGCATCCGCCGCGAGTCACCGTTTGGTGCGCTTTGTGGGGTGCCGGAGTGATTGGACCGTATCTCTTCGAAAATCCAGCTGGAACTGCGGTGACTGTTAATGGTGTGTGGTGTCGCGAAATGTTAACCGAGTTCTTGTGGCTAGGCTTGAGACATACGACTCTTTTCTCTCATTTCGATCATCTCTCTGCAGTGAGTCGATCGTTCGGTGTCGTTCATTTGAACGATACGATTACCGACCGGCCTCGAAGCTGACGAGAGTATGGTGTTGCCTATAGTAACGACCCACTGAGTCAGAATATACATCCTACTATGAAAACGAAATGAAGGGTTAGGGTTGCCGATGTTATTGTACTTATTTATGTATTAATATTTTTGGTTGAAATTGAATGTAACTATACTGTCCTCCGAAAAAAGAAAGGATGTATGGTCCGGTTTTGAGGAATTACCGAATTCCGAATCAAAATGCACAACAAAGCAACCGGGTTCCCTAGATAGTGTCTGCACTGTTAACGCGTTGTCAATTCGCAGTTCAGTTGCTGCATACTGCATACACGTTTTGCACAATTGAACGAGTCATATGTAACAAAAGAGTCGTTCAATCATCGCTCACTTAGATGAGTCGTTCATGTTGAACGACACATGACTACTTGTGACTCCAGTTGGATCGAATCGATGTGGAGGATATGTTCTCCCAACAAGACACACAGCACGCGAAACGATGGTGTTACCGCGGACCAAGTATCCCGACCGTGTCATTTCTCGGCTTGGCGATCAAAATTGGCCACCGAGATCGTGCGATCTAACGCCAATGGACTTCTTTCTCTCGGGCTATGTGAAGGAAAAGGTGTATGCGAACGAGCCACAAACAGTTGAACGACATACGGCGCGTTATCGACGAAATAGAGCCGCAGTTGTGCGAAAACGTCATCCAGAATTTTATGAAAAGACAGACCCTGTGCCAGAGGTTTCGCGGTCGCCATTTACCGGATGTCCTATTTCATTTTTAATTGCAACTATTCCTCTTCACGTTGAAATATAAATACTCGCTTAATTCGAAGAGAAATTGACCGCCCATATAGCAAAATCCAGGGGGGGCATGTTTGGTTTACAGGTTGTGCAGGATCAAAAATGCTGAAAACTACAGTATATTCAGATAAGAGATAGACCGGACATAAACAAGACCACGTGATCATCGAACGCTGTAACATTCGGCAGGGACGTATTAAGAGTCACGCAGTACATATTTTAGATAGTAGATGCTGCTTTGCGTAACTTTGTAGTAAATTAGCACAATTCGATGTGTATACGATTGGTGATGGATATAGGATCATGTGGGGGTAGGGTAAGAAATATATAATGATGTAAATATACATAAGGGTTTCAAAATTTTCGCTTCGATTTCCAGCTTCGGATGCCGCCTGATGTTTGGTGAAATACAGTCGAATATAATCTCAAAATGGCGTTTAAATTAGCCTAAATTAAAAATAATCGTATATCTCTTAAAATTGCTTTTAGAATATTGATTAGTATATTTTTTGATTTCTAGGTAAATATGTAACCAAATTAAAACGTTCAAAACGTAAAAAAATGTGCATGGTTGAATATTGTCAGAAAGTAGATTCTTGAATAGGTTTTGCCAAAATGGGTTCAAAAATGTCAATAATTAATTAAAAAATACAGTAGCTTTATAATTACTTATAACTTACCGAATTTGATGAACGACATCTTTTATTGGAAAGATGAGCTTGATGAGCTTTCATCATCGCTACTGCCTGAAGCACCAACGTCAATAATGAATGGCTCGACTTGTTCCTCTAAAATATTGTCCAGTTCCCACATACTCTTTTCAACTTTGTCTTTCACGTGCTTAATACAGTTTTCCCATTTTTGCGCTGTTATTAATTCTAGTGCTTCTTTGAAAAGTCCTTTGAGGTCACAAAATTTAAAAGTTGTATTGTGCTTAGCTATATAATTTTTAACCTCTGCCCATATGAGCTCAATGGGATTGAGCTCGCAATGGTATGGAGGTAAACGGAGCACAGTTTTATTTTGACTTGCTGCCATTTCGTCAATGGCGTATTTTTGATATTCCGCCTTGTGATCCTTGACAATTTTTTTGTAGACAACTGAAGCAGAAATAATAATAATATCTTCCATGTTGGGATATTCTCACACGCCACCTCTTACTTACCCAAGAATCGGTTTATCTTGTTACGAATATTTCACATTGAAGCAGAATCCAGGGGGGGGGGCATATGCCTCCTCTTGCCCCCCCCCCCCAATAAGCGCCCACGCCCTTTATCAATAAACCCATACTCAAAGATAATTCAGTAATTGCTAGTTTGTACTTACAACATTTATTCAATGAAAACGTACACAAAAATATATCAAAGCTATAGTGCTAACATTTAGAAATATTTCAAATAGTAGTAGTAACAGTAAATTGATGCTATTGGTTACAAGATTAGGGAATGAAAGTCAGATGTTGGACCGAACTTGAGGAATTCTTACAAACTACTTAAAAAATGTGTCTACTTTGCATTGAAAGCTTTAGGAGTACTGCGTACCTTGAAAAGGGACATTATTTCGGTTTTTTGAGATTATGTAGGTTTTTTGACATTATATCTACCTGTTTTTTACGTAATAGCCCGGTGGTGTCATCGGCAGGGTTATTGCGAAAAAAAACCCGAAAAATAAATGTTTCGTTGTTCGGAAATTTATCAAAAACGGAAAATTCACCGCTGGAGACCTAAGCCAAACGCTTGTGATGTCACCACAATCAAGAAGTTGAATTTGAATATCAAAAAATCGATAATGTCACTTTTCATATATACGTAATGCCCCTGCAGATGTTTCGAAAAAGAAATATATCTTGGACATTTTGCTGAAACAAATCGTATGTATCACGTGCAAGATAAAATTGATGAACGTAAATGTATACCAAGCAGGTACGTTATTTCAATTGCTGTACTGAAACAGCAGAGCAGAAGGTGTGCGCAATGGTACCAACTGACTTGTGGCACCATTCTTTGCGTTGAGTACCCAGTACTCTCTCCCGTTGATGTGCCTTCTTTTTCCTTCGTTTGCGTTGTAAGCGAAAGGCGGTCTGAACAATGATTGGTACGATGGTGGTGGAGTGATAAGCGGGAAATTTCGATCTCCGTTTTTGTAGAAGATCGGCTGTGGTCTGTCATCCCTTGGTCTTCTGTGGCGTTTCTTTCTTTTTGTATTTTCGTACAATCTGGAAATCGAAATTGAATATTCCAGGTTTTGAAAATTTTAACTCGAAAAATGTTTCCCAGAGAAAAATGTAGAACAAAGGTTGAATCCTGACTATGACCTTGAAGTTCGTTTGAAAGTCAAGACAGTTTTCTTGAATTAAAATCTCTATTTTTGGCATATAAATGTGAAAATCGTAGAATTTTATGTTTAAATATGTCGTTGTCCATGACCTTCAAGGTCATTTGAGGGTATTCAAAAAGTACGAAAAATATGTTTACCAAAGAAAAATGTTACAAAATAAATTTGTATGGTATTAAAAATGCATCCAACGGGGACCTTGAACGTGACCTTGACTATGACCTTGAAGATAATTTGTATATCAACACAGTTTTCTTAAATGAGATTTCTATTTTTGACACCGGAGATATGAAGATCGAAGAATTTTATGTTTAAGTTTGTCGTTGCCATGTCCTTGACAATGACCTTCAAGGTCATTTGAGGTTGTCCAAAAAGTTCGAAAAGTGCAAAATATCACGAAAAATATGTTGCAGAATAAAATTGTAAGGTATGAAAAGTGCATCCAATGGGGACCTTGAACGTGACCTTGACTGTGGCCTTGGAGATAATTTGTATATCAACACAGTTTTCTCAAATGAAAAGCCCTATTTTTGACACCGGAAATATGAAGACCGAAGAGTTTTATGTTTAAGTTTACCGTTGTCCATGACCCTGACCATTACCCTCAAGGTTATCTGAGGGTGTCTAAAAAATACGGAAAGAACAAAGTATCACGAAACATGTGTTTACCAGAGAAAAATGTTGCAAAATAAAATTGTAAAGTATGAAAAGAGCCATCCAATAAGGACCTTGAAGGTGACCTTGACTATGGACTTGAAGATAATTTGAAGATCAACACAGTTTTCTTAAATGAAAATCCCCGTTTTTTACTTCGGAAATATAAATATCGAAGAATTTTATGTTTAAATATGTCGTTTTCCATTACTTTGACCATGACCTTCAAGGTCATTTGTAAGATATGAAAAATGCCATCCACTGGACACATTGAACGTGACCTTGAGTATGGCCTTGAAGATAATTTGTATATCAACACAGTTTTCTTAAATGAAATTTCTATTTTTGACATCGGAGATATGAAGATCGAAGAATTTTATGTTTAAGTTTGTCGTTGCTATGACAATGGTCATTTGAGGGTGTCCAAAAAGTACGAAAAGTGCAAAATATCACGAAAAATATGTTTACTAAAGAAAAATGTTGCAGAGTAAAATTGTAAGGTATGAAAAGTGCATCCAATGGGGACCTTGAACGTGACCTTGACTGTGGCCTTGGACATAATTTGTTTATCAACACAGTTTTCTCAAATGAAAATCCCTATTTTTGACTCCGGGAATATGAAGAGCGAAGAGTTTTATGTTTAAGTTTACCGTTGTCCATGACCCTGATCACTACCTTCAAGGTCATCTGAGGGTGTCTAAAAAAATACGGAAAGAACAAAATATCACGAAATATGTGTTTACCAGAGAAAAATGTTGCAAAATAAAATTGTAAAGTACGAAAAGCGTCATCCAACAAGGACCTTGAAGGTGACCTTGACTATGGCGTTGAAGATAATTTGAAGATCAACAGAGTTTTCTTAAATGTAAATCCCCGTTTTTTTACATCGGAAATATAAATATCGAAGTATTTTATGTTTAAATTGTTTTCCATTACTTTGACCATGACCTTCAAGGTCATTTGTAAGATATGAAAAGTGCCATCCAGTGGACACATTGAACGTGACCTTGAGTATATCCTTAAAAATCATTTGAAGATCGCAGTTTTCTTAAATGGAAATCCCTATTTTTTACACAGGAAACGTAAGGAAAGTAAAATTTTACGTTTAAGAGTGACCTTGATCATTCAAGGTCATTTGAGGGTATTTAGAAGGTACGAAAAAACAAAATATCACGAAAAATATGTTTACCAAAGAAAAATGTTGCAGAATGCTTGATCCTAGGTTTCAAGGTCATTTGCGGGTATCCAAAAAGTGCGAAAATATGTTAACAGGGAAAAAATAGAATAAGATTGTAAGGTATGAAAAGTGCCATCCAATGGGAGCCTCGACCTCGGTTTCGCCAATGGTTATTCTATTTTTTGTAAAGATATCATCATACAAACCTCATTGTCATCTCAACCAAAAATACCGCACACGCTATGGCTAAGCCTCCTCCTACAATGAGGTATGTCAATAATAGATCTGTGTTTCGTAGTTTTCTTTCCGTATTGCCCAAATTTAGAGGACATATTTCAGCTTCAGGTAAATTTTCATCTAGCTTGTATCCTATTATACCAGACTCCACCAAATGTTGTATCCTAAAACCATAGTTTTTATAAAAAGAATGGTTGTCTAAAAAGTATGAATACTTTAAAATATCTCGAAAATACGTTTTTTAGAGAAAAATGTAGAACAAAGTTGCAAGGTTGGAAAAGGGACATCTAATAGTGACCTTGAACCGGGCATTGACTTTGACATTCAAGGTCATTTGAGGGTTAAGGCAGTTCTCTTAAATGGAAAGGTCAGTACGTCTTTGTATATGACCTTGACTATGACCTTCAAGGGCATTTTAGAGCGTCCAAAAGGTATGGAGAAAAATATGCTACCTAGAAAAAATTACTGATCAAAGTTGTAAGGTTTAAAAAGGGACATTTAACTGTGCGCTTGAACGTGACCTCGACTACGACCTTGAAAGTTTTACAACGATCGAGCATCTAGCGTTACGTGACATCACTGTTCTGGAAGCAAGAGTCAGAGCCCATCAAAAAATTCCTTTCACCTTCAAATGACCTTGAAGATCATAGGTGATGATAGTAACCTTGACCGGCTTTTTATATCTCCGACAAAAAGTAACATTTATATAACCTGCAAATGAGTCCGAAGATCACGGTCAAGTTCATTGACAAGAACATACTTATAGGTAAAATTGTCCGCATTTCCATTTCAGTAGTCGAAAATAGATGTTTCCCGTTAAAAATTCATTTGACATTCAAATGACCTCGATGGTTATAGTCAAGGTCACGGATATACTTGAACATAAAGTTTTCAGCTTTCTACATTTCCGATGTCATTTCCATCAAATGACCTTGAAAATCATGGCCAAGTTTAAGTTCAAGGTCGCCATTTGTTGACATTTATAACTTTCTTCTCCTACATTTTTCTGTATGAAACGTATCTGGATACGCGCTCAGCAAACTAGCATACTTACGTAGAATCGAACAACTCTTTATACTTGAAATTGGCGCTGTACGCGAAAGCTCTGGGAAACTTGAACACTGAGAACTTCGCCACTACAAAGGTGCATCTCTTCGATTCCTCGATACCTTTTTTCACCTTTTGTTTATAATCGTCGTACATAACGTGATACAAGACTGACTTTTCCCGTACGAACATCATACTCTTCCTGCTGACGTAATCTTCCACTATACTCTGGTCGTCCTGACTGGGACATTCTCGATAGCGCCCGATTTCGGTAATCTAAAACGTAAATGCAAGTACGAGGTCTGTAAATTCTACGAAATTTGGTTGTCTACTTCCTCCGTTCATCAAATAATATCTTACCAGTTTATCTCTTTGTTTTATGTCAGCCCGTGCTTCAGAGGTGATTACGTCCCGGATTCCGTTGGCCTTATTGGTGACCCACGGTATTCTTTTCCTTCCGAGATCGGACGCGCTGTTTATGGGCAAAGTGAACTTGGAGAGGGTCAAGAAGGCTGTGAGATTCGCTGTGTAAAACGCAGTCAGGATCAGGATGAACAACCACCATGTCGCAAATAACAATCGCGCGGAATCTGAAAAGAAAATGTACTACAGGGTGGCCAATATACAGGGAGCAAACGTTCTGGTAGTCATTATGGAAATGGGTAATAGGGGGGGGGGTCAAAGCAAGTCAAAAAGTTCGTATGACCCATGGTCTAAAGTTAAGTGCTTTATATCGACCACAATCTTACTAATTTTTATAATCTAATCTAAAACGTTTTTAAATTGGGTAATTAATAAATAAATGGCATTAAGTTTTTAAGTTAAGCCAAAATTTGAAGTCAGTAAGTTTTATTAAAGTGAATATTTAAAATACACATGACAACAGCGCGCCGGTCATCATCACTGTTATCGAACCGGCAATCGATCGCAAACGGTAACAGTGGTTAGTATGTTGTTTTGTTTTTGTTCGCGTACGTCGTCGTCTTGATTTACATTGTTCTCGAATCAAGGGTTCGCCGATATGTTGTTAGTTTACAGTGAAGCTTGTCAGAATTGCACATGTTATATGAAACTTTTTGCCTCTTTTAACCCCATCTATCACCCATTTGAATAATGACTAACATAACGTTTACACCCTGTATAACTGACTGATTTTTGATACACGCTTTTCAGTAGATGGCGCCGAATTTTTTAATTTTTCCACCAGTGGCGTCCGTACGGGATGTATACTGGTGATTTTAAAAAAATATATAGTACGCCATTGCTTTTTCCAAAAATAAAAATCGTTTTTGAAATCCTTATTTATTCGCCAACAAATCTGATCTCTAGACTCTTTTACGTCCGAGGCGCCGTTTTCGCGTAAAAAATAAAAACCATTTTCATGTATCGGTGCTATAACGAAATCATTTTGAACTACGAGGGATGTCTTTTAAGTGTTGCATATCGAAATATAGTAGGCCGCGCGGATCGAACGTCGGTACTGAATCTTAACCTCACTCTTTAGTAAACTTAAATTCAAAGTTTCACAACAAAGAAAAGACATTTTTTGATCGAAGAGAATTCCTAAATCATTAATTTGAATTTGGCGCTTAAGACTGACGTTTCCAAGGCAATATTCGTAAATTAAAACATCCTCTTTTCTTGTGAAGGATAGGACAAACTACTTGTCAGCATTTCAGTTGAGATGATTGGCTTTGGACCATGAATATATTGTCATTATATCTGCCTCCATCGATATCTTTTACTGAATAATATATTTTCAAGTCGTCTGCATACAATAATTTTAAACAATGCAAGTTAAGAGTTAAATCGTTTATGTATAACTCTCGAAGTAAGCCTCATAAGTGGTGAACGCATCCAAGCTTTGCCGTGAATCACCTGTTTTGGGGTTCAATGTCGATCCTTGCTTGAGCAACGCTCCATATACGAACCACATGCACCTTTCCAAACTGTACTGCTTGCTGTTATCACCTTCCTCGTGAGAAATAGCAAATCTCCAACCGACAGCTATAAGGATATGTATGATGGGCCCAACGGCCAGCACCGAGACGACAATCAGCGCCCAAACGGGGCCATCGAAAGGGGCCAATAGGCCGCTGCCCTGCGCGGACTCCTTTGGGCGAAGCAGAAGGATCGACCAATCGGCTGTGTCCAGGCTGCGGGAGTAGCTTACGTTGTCTTTCTTGGTGGTTATCATCGGTAGGAAGCCTGCTATTATATCTGCTTGCTGAAAAAAAAAATGCAATGAATGAAGCTACAAACATCGCGCGAAATAAAAACATGGCGACAAGAAGATTGTCTCTAAACTTGCTAGTAGAGAAAGGCGAAATCAAAACGTGATTACAGTATATTCAGATAAGAGATAGACCGGACATAAACAAGACCACGTGATCATCGAACGCTGTAACATTCGGCAGGGACGTATTAAGAGTCACGCAGTACATATTTTAGATAGTATCTAGATGCTGCTTTGCGTAACTTTGTAGTAAATTAGCACAATTCAATGTGTATACGATTGGTGATGGATATAGGATCATGTGGGGGTGGGGTAAGAAATATATAATGATGTAAATATACATAAGGGTTTCAAAATTTTCGCTTCGATTTCCAGCTTCGGATGCCGCCTGATGTTTGGTGAAATACAGTCGAATATAATCTCAAAATGGCGTTTAAATTAGCCTAAATTAAAAATAATCGTATATCTCTTAAAATTGCTTTTAGAATATTGATTAGTATATTTTTTGATTTCTAGGTAAATATGTAACCAAATTAAAACGTTCAAAACGTAAAAAAATGTGCATGGTTGAACATTGTCAGAAAGTAGATTCTTGAATAGGTTTTGCCAAAATGGGTTCAAAAATGTCAATAATTAATTAAAAATTACAGTAGCTTTATAATTACTTATAACTTACCGAATTTGATGAACGACATCTTGGAAAGACGAACTTGATGAGCTTTCATCATCGCTACTGCCTGAAGCACCAACGTCAATAATGAATGGCTCGACTTGTTCCTGTAAAATATTGTCCAGTTCCCACATTCTCTTTTCAACTTTGTCTTTCACGTGCTTAATACAGTTTTCCCATTTTTGCGCTGTTATTAATTCTAGTGCTTCTTTGAAAAGTCCTTTGAGGTCACAAAATTTAAAAGTTGTATTGTGCTTAGCTATATAATTTTTAACCTCTGCCCATATGAGCTCAATGGGATTGAGCTCGCAATGGTATGGAGGTAAACGGAGCACAGTTTTATTTTGACTTGCTGCCATTTCGTCAATGGCGTATTTTAGATATTCCGCCTTGTGATCCTTGACAATTCTTAATAATTGTACTTTCAGCATTGCTTCTTCAAAGTTGATATTTTTCGAGCGGAGCCAATTTTGAACATCAACTTTCCTTGAAGCCGTTGTTGGGACCTTCTCCATTCTTCGAGAATGATAAGGCGCATTATCCAACACAATTACTGCGTTTTCCTCTAAGTTCGGTAAAATTTTTGAAAACTACTGTTCAAACGATTCGCCATTCATTTCCTCGTGGTAATCTCCAGTTTTCTTAGACTCAAAGCACCACAGACCGTCAAAATCCATCCTCACTGCCAATATGGCAGATAATGAGCCTTTTCCCTTTACCTGGAAATCGAAGTACTAACTGGTGTAGATTTATTTCAATAAGCGAACCTTTTTCAAATGTTTTCATCACATTCAGCGAAAAAACATTGAGACATGAATATCAGATTGCTATAATTGGGATTATTTAGTCATATTGAAAGAAAGAATATTGAACGTCGTATGATTACTCAGCGCTTCACAATTTAATTTAAAGTTATAAACCTTTAAAAAATGAATGATCAGGAACCTGAAATACGCGCAAATATTAATATTAACAAATTATAACTTTATAAAGCTTAAAGTATGAATTAAAATGATTAGAAATAGTAGGAACGGTACACAATATAAAACTTAGTAACTTTTTTTAAGTTTATAATATTCGACATATTTTAAGATTATATTAAAAAATTATTGAAATATCGAAAACACATAAAAACATGGCTTAAAAAAGTTCTAACAAATGAAAATGACAATAAAACATCCACGCATTTTATCGAAAGTTATAAAAGTTTTGTTACTTGTAATATGTTTTATCTGCCCCCTGGAATTAATGTTTAGAACCTTGTTCCCAAGGTTTTAAAAACATCCGATTGTTGTCTATTACTCGTATTTACCTGCTGGATTTTTTAATCCGGTGGACAGTCCATCTAGAAAGGCCCTCCTGGATGAAGTTACAGAATCATCAACCCATACTTTACTTGTAGTGTGTCCTGCGTTTACCCACGTTTCATCAAGGTAATAAATCTTCCTGTTTTGATTTCTATATTTCCCAATTTTTGTTAAATAATCCCTCCTCCATAGCACAATTTCTTCTCTATCCAGTAGTAAACTATTACGACCCCGTTTTTTCCATTTGAAATTTAAATGCTTCAGTAACGCATGGAAAGTTGATCGTTTGAAATTTGGCAACGTTGTATCTCCATTTACCTCCTGCAGTACTTATCTATAGTAGGTATTTCATTCCTAAAGAAGAATTCATGCACTTTCCTCCTAATCGCATGCTTATCAGGTTCATCCGATGATTTAACAATACTTTTGCGATGTTTACTGGTCATTGGCTCAGAAAAGGTGTGATTTTTTTTGTATTGTCTTAACACATTAAACACTGATGCGCGACAAACCCCAACTTTGTGAGAAACCTTCACAACAATTTCTTTGATGATTGATGCCTCGTTCTCCTCGCGCTCGATCTTATATATATTCAAAATGACCTCTTTCATTTCTGCACTCAGGTGTCTTTTTTTAGAGCGTTTCCTAGGTGGACTACAGGAGTTTACAACTTCATCGGCAGTATCTGTACTACTGGGCATTTTGCGCAAGCAGTTGATAACAATAACAATCAATAACAAGGTATAACAATAACAACGACAAACTCAACAACTTAATAAGATAACAAACGAAAACGTCCAAAGAAATATCAAATTGCAATGATGCACACGACATACGTAACACGTCTGAACCTGAATGTGACTCTGCCTTGATACGACTGCTCTGCCGCTCGGCATAGGCATTTAATTACGAATTGACCAATGAGGGCTCCTGTTTTACGTCGAGACGGCGGCGTTAGCGTGAAAATCACCCGAACCTTTTGTTTACATCCGGTCTATCTCTTATCTGAATATACTGTAGGTATGTTCACTTCGTCCTCAAACTAAATAAAGAAAATCTATTACATTTCTGTTTCCATGGCAGAGATAAAGTACTTTTCTTTTATGATCCCCTCCCCTTTGATTTTTTAGAGTAAAATTGACAGACGAAAATGTCAAGATGGCCGCTGGGCGCCATCTTGGAAAAACATTATATGAAAACGGGAGTCTTGTGGCACATCATTTTGAAGCTCCTGGCGAGTACTTTATAACCCTAGAATATAAAGTCAATACCTTTGCCTACTACAAAATGGTGGTACATTTAACAATTATTTGAACACAGACCCACTAACATGCATATCTCTACAAATAATTGTAATTCCCTGCCGTATCCACAGCAACAGCGATAAAAACTTGTTTTGTTATTTTTTGTTGACAGTGACAAGAATATCAGTACGAGAAGAAACATCATTGTACTGTTAAAATATTCTTATTTAGTTTTCGGTTTTAGTGCTAGTGGCTCAACCGGTGGATTAAAAAATACGCCTTATGTGGTACATGCATGATGGTGTACCAGCGCGTTTCAGTGTATCGGTTCGTAATTATTTATAAACTGTTTATCGAAGTCGTTGGTTTGGCCGCGGTGGGCCCCAAGAATGGCCACCAAGGTCCCCAGACCTCAACAGTTTAGATTTCTTTTTGTGGGGCTATCTTAAGACACCAGTGTACACAAGTCCCATTAACGCTGTAGAGGAATTAAGAGAAAGAATAGTTGCAGCTTGTGATAGAATAAAAAACACTCCAGGGATATTTCAACCCAATTCCATGAGAAGGAGGGGGGAAGCATGCATACTAAGTGAAGGGGGCCATTTTTGTAAACATTTCGTTGGTTTTAATGTTATGTTTATGTTGTCAGTTGTTGTAGTTTATTACCCCTAATGTGTTTAATTTTTCCAATTAAATTAATAATTTTGCAAGACAATAGAACGGTTTTTATTTTTTTACTCAAAAATGGCGCATCCGAGGAAAGCAACTCAATAGTGATCATTTATTTTAAATTGAACGGGGAATACAAAAATAATTTTTATTTTTGGCAAAAACCAATGGCGTACCATTGAAAAATATGCAACTTTATTAACTTTCACTACGTATTAAATATCAGTGACATATCTGAAGCGGCTCTGAAAATATTAATTAATTTCCATTTTGTTCCTAAAACTTCAACACCCCGAGTTTTTGTAAGGAAACATTTTTGGATCATAGTTTATAAAGCAAACTAACATTAATTTTTCATGTAGATTGACACCCTTAAATATTTGAACACCCTGTATACCAAACGGGACCTCAAATCGAACCTATTAACACATTTTGGAAGACTGAGAGGAATTGGGCTTTGCCTATAAAATTACGTACAACATTATGAACATCTGATATGATTTACCTCTGCTTATTCATGATTATTATTGTTATTAGTTATTACCATTAATTATATTTTAACATTGTGTTCCAACCAAGGAAATACATCACTGAATTTAGGACTGAAAGGTTAATTCAAAAGTACATAAGCCAATGTAGCGTCCATATCAAAAACAAAGTTGGCGATGGAAGTCGAATTGAAAATAAAAAATGATTTTGCGATGTCTGGTATGACTATATGATAATTTCGAGACCTACGCAGAACATTCTTTTTTATTTTGAAATATCTGAGGTTTGACAATGTCAATGTACGACGTATGATTTTTGGAATCAGAATTAAAAACTCTATTTATCTGTGCAAAAATCCAATATGGCTTATTTAAGAACAGAAAAAGTTGATAAGAGGCGATACATATTGGAATTCTAGTTATACCATCTTGTCTGAAGTCTGAAAAGAAATTAAAAATTTCCTCTTCGGATTTCGAAGCTTTTTAAGCGGCATATTGTTAGTTATCTACATACGCGACTTGATTGAATTTATTACATATTTACCTGGGTGTCGAGTAGCACTTTCGCTCCTTTTTCCTTCTTATTCTCAGTGAGAAATACTTCATCCTCTGGTACCACAATAGTATAGTTAAATTTCAGTTTTTGCTGCAAAATTTTGATAATGTCAAAAGCTATCCCTGTACCTTTGATACTTCCATTTTCTTTTACATATCCGTTGAGATAGTTATTCTGTAAATAAACAGGAATTTATCACGATAGATCAATCTGCCTCTGGAATAAGCATAATAAACGGGACGACCTTGCGGTGATAGAGACTAGCAAGAAGAGAGATAATGGGTTGTCCAATAGGGACGCAGGAAAGTAAACGTCAATTTGACATAGACGCCATCTTTGTTTTCTGTCACCGACATGTCATTTTGTTAGTTGAATGTTTACCATTGATCGCTATGGAGTCGTATTCGATTGAAGATCGCATTAAAGTTATTCAAGAGCACTACAAAAATGGTGCAAAAATAAAAAACACGTTTCGCGCGCTTCGTGAACATTTCGGTCGCAACAACCGCCCAAACGAAACAACCATCGGTCGTCTGGTGCGTAAATTCGAGGCAACAGGTTCTGTGGCAAATCTGCCAGGCTCTGGCCGGCCAAGAAGCGTTCGCACACCGGAAAATATTGCTGTTGTGAAGGAGAGTGTGAGAGACGATCCGAAACAATCAACAACGCGTCGATCCCAAGAATTGGGCATTCCGAGAACCAGTTTGCTGCGCATTCTACACAAGGATTTGAATGTACACGCCTACAAGATCCAATTGACGCAAGAGCTGCGTCGGGCGGACCATTTTTCGCGCCGAACGTTCTCAGATTGGCTCCTTGAACACCGCCAAATTTTTCAACAAAAATCATGTTCAGCGACGAAGCGCATTTCACTTTGAATGGGACGGTAAACAAGCAAAACTGCCGCATCTGGGCGAACGAAAATCCCCGTGAGTATCAAGAGCAGCCGATGCATCCTCAAAAAGTGACTGTGTGGTGTGCATTGTGGTCAAAAGGCATCATCGGACCTTACTTTTTCGAAAATGCGGCCGGGGACGCCGTTATCGTCAATTCTGAGCGATATCACGTGATGATAGAGGACTATTTTTTGCCGCAACTTGAAGGAATGGATATGGACGATGTTTATTTCCAACAAGACGGTGCAACATGCCACACAACCAACGTCAATATCCATCGATTGCAGCCCTGCTTCGGTGATCGCGTGATTTCGCGCAGAGGAAATGTGCCATGGCCACCAAGATCGTGCGATTTGACTCCCTTGGACTTCTTTTTATGGGGATATTTGAAAAGCAAAGTCTACGTCAACAAACCAGCCACCCTCCGAGAACTCAAAAACAACATCATTGCCGAGATAAATGCCATAGAACCGACCATGTTGCAAAATGTCATTGAAAATTTCGACCATCGCGTGGACGTCTGTAAATCCAGTCGTGGTGAACATTTGAGCGATATTATTTTTCATACATAAATGGTATAAATGAACCTTCAAAATAAAGTACCCAACTTGATTTGAATATCAATCTTTCTTATTTTAATATGCGTTTACTTTCCTGCGTCCAACCCCATACATTTGAAGGACTCTTGGCATTCGGAATCACGAGAATCACCATATGGATGGAAGAAAACTGCTTAAAATTGACTACTGAGAGCTGTTAATGTTCATTTGCTGGCTGCGAAGAGATGCGCACTCTATAAAAAGGACTTCGATGCTACAAGCAAGAGAGGCGCCTTTGTCAGACGGCAGGAGAGATGGAAAAGCATTTTAAGAAAAATTCTCATTGAAAACCTTTGATTTTAATCATCAATCAAGCGCGGGCTCAATGAGCCGTATTCATAAAACAAAGGATATCCTTGTACTTGCAAATTTTGAAGGAAATCCTCCAGATGGTATTTATAATAATTTAATTATAAGCATATCCTTCAAAGCAGTGACATAAGTAAAAGGATATTCATAATCTTCGCCTTATACTTGGCATAGGAAGCATATCCTTCAAAAATTCTGAGTGTGGCTTGTTTTCATACCGGCCACACTGGGTCCTCCCTTTAACTCGAGAACACCGACGTAATCGCCTTGAGTGGTGCAGACAACGGTCACTCTGGGATCAGGAATGGAACAGTATTGTCTTTAGTGACGAGTCTCGATTTTGTTTAGGCATGCACGATGGTCGTGCCAGGGTTAGAAGGCGACGTGGTGAAAGGAGGAATCCGCAGTTTTTTGTTGAAAGACATGTTCATCACACTGTTGGAGTTATGGTTTGGGGTGCTATAGCTTATGGTTCCAGGTCACCTTTAATCTTCATCAGAGGTAACATGAACGCGCAGCGTTATATCCACGAAGTTCTAGAACCCCATCTTTTACCCTATCTTGACACCCTGGCTGATCCAACTTTCCAACAAGATAATGCCCGACCACATGTTGCAAGAGTCACAATAGACTTCTTTCAACATAATGATGTCACTTTGTTAACATGGCCACCAAGATCTCCCGACTTATCCCCAATTGAGCACGTGTGGGATATGATGGGTAGGAGATTGTTCAATTTGCAACGTACTCCTCAGACTCTAGAATCACTTCGAGAGGAGTTGGTGGTTGCCTGGAATAAGATACCACAGGAGGACATTGACCACCTGATCAGAAGCATGCCTAGGCGCGTTGGAGAATGCGTAGCACATCAGGGTGCATCCACACATTATTAAAGGTCAAAGGGCTTTAAAGCAGTGCAATCATTTTGAAATTTTTATCATTTACTTATTATGCTTCATTAAGTACTTATACAAAATTTTATTAAAATAAAACCATTTAAACTGGGTGTTCGGATTTATATGTCACTTAGTATACTTGATTGGTACTGCTGTAATAGCACTAGACGTTGCAGTTCTTATGTAATTAACCCTTTGGTTTCCTAAGTTTCGTATTTCTCTGTTGCTAATTTTCTTTTTGGTGGCAATGTCTTCGGAAATGCTGGTGCTGTAATAACTGTTTGCTCACTGCGCTCGGTATATAGTTCACTTCCTTCTTCTTGAACACTACCAACCTGAATGGCACCTCTAATTTTCCCAATTGTATGATTACAGTCACCTTCTAAAGCTTTCAGCAACTTTCTTTCCCAATCTAACAATTTAATTGCTTTATTACCAGTTTTTTTAGATCTGTTTTTTCTTCAATCTTCATTTCATGTTGTTGATTTTTTAGAAGCCTTTAGTATCTAACGGTTTACCGAATGTTGATTCGTATTTTTTCAACATCTTCAATGCAACTTGCGACTTCTTCAATGGGAGCAATGGCAATTTCATCTGCGATAAACTGCATGTCGTTGCCATTATTTTCTATTGTATCCACATCACTTGAGGATGACATGCTTATTAATTTGAAAAAAAACTGTATCCAGTAAAAATACGGAACGGTCTGTGTAAGCTCTGGAGTACAACTGTCAGTCATGCTGAGTGAACGAACTCCCACGTCAACTACAAGCTGAAACAAGTCAGGATATGTCGCTCAAGATACAAATATCACTCAACCTTTTACTTCTTCTTGGAGGATATCCTCGCGAGTATAAGGTAATCATTATGAATATGAAAACAAGGATATGCTTATACTTCTACCTTTTTCTCCGAAGCAAGACCTTATACTTTTAACTTATGCTTCCGAGGATTCTCTTTTATGAATACGGCTCAATGTATATTCTGCATGAACGCGAGATAGACGGAGCTGGCCGCTACCGCTAATAAATGATTGTGTGGGTTTAAACTTGTATATAAATATAGCAAAATTTTATATTGACCTGAAAAGTAGCGATTCTAAAGGATTCTGCTTTAATCTCCTCTGTCAATTTCAATAATCGAGATCGTCTGAAGTCCATACTTGGAGTCCCTGAAAAATACTCTAAATTAACGTCGAAAAAGTCAACTAGAAATTACGCATTACCTAAAACCTGAACACTTTGCTCTGTGATATTTCCTTGGCTCATGTATGGGGATGTTACTGCAAAGCAAATACAAATTGAACATTTATAAGAAATTCCTCAAGCAACTGAAAAGAAAAACAAAAATCTTACAAAATATGACTATTTACTATGCAAATAAGGAAGGTTCCTATTTTTTACGCTACTCAGAAGTTTCTTATTTGGAGGATCGTCTGGTTGAAGTGTGTGACCGTGTGATGACGTCACATTACACCAGTCGTCAACGCAGTTCTGCTCTGTATTTATGATTGACGGTAAAGATGGTTGAAAAAATGGCCTACAAATGTATGAATACACGCGTATGAGCTCCATTTTCCCTGTACCAGAACAAAAGAATTTGGATTAACTTAATCTCATTCTGATGAAAGAATTTATTAGCTTAGGCGTAAGTACAAAATGCTTTTATATTCATACCTTCATTTTTTACCTAAAGATAGCGAATCTAAAACTATACTAAGTGACATATAAATCCGAACACCCAGTTTAAATGGTTTTATTTTAATTTTGTATACATACTTAATGAAGCATAATAAGTAAATGATAAAAATTTCAAAATGATTGCACTGCTTTAAAGCCCTTTGACCTTTAATAATGTGTGGATGCACCCTGATGTGCTACGCATTCTCCGACGCGCCTAGGCATGCTTCTGATCAGGTGGTCAATGTCCTCCTGTGGTATCTCATTCCAGACAAGTGCTTCTAGAGTCTGAGGAGGACGTTGCAAATTGAGCAATCTCCTACCCATCATATCCCACACGTGCTCAATTGGGGATAAGTCGGGAGATCTTGGTGGCCATGGTAACAATGTGACATCATTATGTTGAAAGAAGTCTATTGTGACTCTTGCAACATGTGGTCGGGCATTATCTTGTTGGAAAGTTGGATCTGCCAGGGTGTCAAGATAGGGTAAAAGATGGGGTTCTAGAACTTCGTGGATATAACGATGCGCGTTCATGTTACCTCTGATGAAGATTAAAGGTGACCTGGAACCATAAGCTATAGCACCCCAAACCATAACTCCAACAGTGTGATGAACATGTCTTTCAACAAAAAACTGTGGATTCCTCCTTTCACCACGTCGCCTTCTAACCCTGGCAAGACCATCGTGCATGCCTAAACAAAATCGAGACTCGTCACTAAAGACAATACTGTTCCATTCCTGATCCCAGAGTGACCGTTTTCTGCACGACTCATGGCGATTACGTCGGTGTTCTCGAGTTAAAGGGAGGACGCAGTGTGGCCGGTATGAAAACAAGCCAAAACTTCTCATTCGTCGGTAAACACTTCGCATGCCAATAGGTCTTCCGTGTTCTGCAAACCATTCATTTGCAATGGACCTGGTAGTGGAGAAACGGTCCCTTAAGGCCAATAATCTTAGGCGGCGATCTTCACGGTCTGTTGTTCTAGGGCGGCGTCCAGTGCCCCTTGCTCTTTGCGTACGGCCTTCTCGAAGCCATGCCTGACAACACCTAACCACAGTGTCTACACTTCTTTGCACTCTAACTGCAATTGCCCGAAAAGAAAGTCCAGCTTCCCGAAGTCCCACTATACGGCCCCTATCAAACTCACTAAGTTGACGAAATCGTACAGGTCTCCGTACTCTAGACATCGTAACCGATCGTAAAGGATGTCAAGAACCAAAATCCGCCAACGTTGATTCTTTACTGCGGCATTTTTAGAGCGTTAGTGAATTAAAAAAAAGCAGTATAAAAACCGGAATGTCCAACTGATAAGGCTGAAAATTTTTTCACTTGTTATTTACAGTAAGATAAATACATTCACCAACTTTTATTAAAATAAAACCATTTAAACTGGGTGTTCGGATTTATATGTCACTTAGTATATATTTTCACGTCAAAAAAATCGTCCGAGATGAAACTAGATACAGACGCATTATTTATGACAATTTGTCACAGCCGTCTTTGCCCTTTTCGGGTGAATTCAATATTGAGGTGGAATTTTTAACCTCAAATTCCGAATTAGCGTTGAAGAATGCGTATGATTACCTCAAAATTAAAACGCTTTAAATGCGGTTCAAATGACCTGTATCCTACGTATTTGGGGTCGCTAAAACCGAATCCAAAGTCGTTTCTTGTGTCTCTGATCCCGTTTATCATGTAGATCTAATTGTTCAGCGGAAAATTGCAATTGCAAAATTGCATTTTTTGAGACTTGAAGGTGCTAAAAATTCGTTTTTATTATCGAAAGCTACATGAGAGCGAAGCTATGTATAACGAGGTGATTTAAGGCGCTGAATATAAGTATCATAGTGAAAAAATTATAAAGCGTAATCGGAGCGGATTTTGGGTGAAAAGTTGCTAAAAAACTAGTTACCCGAGGCGACCCGTGAATCCTAGCACTAAAATGACATCGAATTCGGAATCTACGTACCCCATTTACATAGAAAACAAGCTTCCATCTAGATCACAGATGGGAAACAGTTTTTCGATGTTTTTTATTAGTCGTTTTGGGCCCCGGATTCGGTTTTAGCAACCAAAACAACATATCATAAGAATGATTGGGCTCACGTTACCTACTGAGCCGTTTTTTACCTTTTTTATGACATTATGCCGATTTTTTTGGCATTCTGCTGTTTTTTGACATTATGTAGGTTATTCTACAAGATGTTAACTCAGCACTTAGTTGTACTCTCACACAGCAAATATCACTGATTTTACACACATGCAGACCAATACACATAATCGTCCAGATGCGATCTTGCTATTCAACCAACTTTCTTCTAAGAGATAAAACCTACAGACACGGATCACTCAGCTTTACAAAACTATGCAACCAATAATGCGTAGTTTAGTTGAGTGATTCCTCCATAGATGGACGTTCACAACGATCCTAGTGAGCAAACGTGGAATTACTGTTTGCGCCCTAAAAACTACCTGGTCTGCAAGTTGACATCTTATAGGCTCTTTTTTTGGCGTTTTAGAGGCATTAAAGGCATATTTTAAGCTTTCAAAGTGAAAACTGCTTAGTACGAGCTGCAAAATGAGCAGGATGTTAAAAATGCCTGTGTCTTAATACTTGTTCTTTGTAAAAGAAACATGGTGTTCATGTCTGCGAAACTATACCTAGTAAATTTGGCAACACCGTTACATCACCTTTTGTTCGGGTTTCTACTTATGCTGTCTTGCAGCTTGTTATCATAGTGTGATAACGATATAAACATATGTTAAAGTCTGGCTGTACAAGATATGTGGCTATCAACTGACACCCCCTAACACTTTTTAATGTCCTAGGAGAAAAATTGTATATAAAAATTATAGGGACCAATACGAAGTTCTTCATGTAATATTTTTTGTATACCGGGTGACTCTAAAAAATGCTATCTAATATAGTTATATTTTTTAAACTGACCGCACTGTATATTCCCTTTTCGGTGATTCCAAATAAATACTATTTGCTAAGCTTATTTTTATTACTTTAGTCAAAAACTTGAAGTTTGTGTGACATTCAAAAACTTCATATTAGACTATAACTTTCATATATAACTCTTTCCTGGAAAGTCATACAACAAAGTTAGAGTGTCAATTTATAGCCGGTGGTTTCTTTGCTGGCAGGCCCGCGAGGCAAAATGCCGGTAACTAAATTCAAGCAAGCGAAGCTAAAGAAAGCGCAAAACTCCCCAAACAGTGCAATACCTATATCATTCTCGCACGACGTGGAATTCAAGCATAGTCCAACGACGAGGAACTCCGTAAGCCCCATTTCCTCTAATCATCTTTTTTCCTCTTCCAATCTGCCGCCCGCGAAGGTGACCTTGAATGTACGCGACGAACACTGCACGTCATATCCCACCGCCTACTATGTGGAAACTCGCACATGCGACAGTGGAGTTGCTGCTTTCCAGGGCATGCTACGATATGTGTGCATAATTAGAGTAGCATTGTCGGTAAGTAGGGGCGTGAAGTTGATACAATATGAGGCGGAAGCCATCATTTAGCGGGAGTTCCCAGAGTCTCTCATTACGAGGGTTGTTTCAAAAATAGGGTTCCCACATTTTTTCAGGCACAGGGAAATTTTATTTACATCCTAATACGCCCAACCGCAAATTTCAAACGCTACCTACAAAAAAATTTCGGAAAATGGTCAGGAGCCTCTGAAACGTTGAAAAACGAAGTTTAAGCGACTTTAATTTTTATTTCGTGTTTTTACCCCTAGGTCCGACACCACAAATTTCATCAAAATCCGAGCGATACTTCTCAAGTTTATAAAATTAGCGGACAGACCGATAAACAGAGTTGTTTTGGTATAGGAAATAAAATGACAAATGCAGTCCAATGAATTATAACATAGTAGATTTTGAACAAATAGTTTACGGTTGGTACAAAAAAGATCAAAATTAATTTTTGGAAAACTCATTAACTCAAATGGAAACCACTTTTTTATAATTCCAGCGTATTAATAATTGAACCTAAGGTTTCTTTTGTATAAGTTTGTCAACTAAGAAAATCAATAGTTTTCGAGATATGTTGAAATGTTTATTTTTCCATTGCCTAAGGCCCGTATCGTCAGTTGTTGCTACAATTGTAGGACGCCTTTATGGCTTCCTTAATTGTCATAGTTTTCTACTTTTCCGTGTCAGCGCTCTATTTTGAGGTTATGTCACAAACATCTATTTGCATCAAATTGTGCATACTTTTAATTTGTATCATGTTTCATCAGCCTGAAATTTCCTACAATTTAAAAAGAAAACGTATCTTCACAATAAGAGAGCGCTGACGCTGACACAGAACAGGTGCAGTATAGAAATTTTTGAAGGAGAGAGAGGAGTATGACAATCAAGGAGGCCATAAAGGCGTCCTAAAATTGTAGGAACGATTTGCTTAGCTTCATAAAGTTGGCCATGGCGTAAAATCAGGCGCTGTCGCCGCGTCACGGCCAACTGAGATTAAAACGGTAAATGCAGCATGGAACATTTGATTGAGCAAGGGAAATACCAGTAATTCCATATATCTTGGAAACTATTAATTGGCCACAGTCTTATACAAAATTAACTTTATTTTCAATGGTTAATAAGATGAGACTTTAAAGAACGCAGTTTCTATTTGAAAAAAAATTCTTTTTTGGATCTTCTGAAATTTAACTTTTTTGGACTACCCAGTTTTGTGTTATCCGAATTCGGAATTAAATCTACCAAAATAGGGTCCCTACTATTAAGAAATATGTTACAAATCAAATGAAAAATACAAAAATAGAAATACATTTGTCATATTTTATGCAAAATTTGAGATATCTCAAAAAAAATTGAATAATATACAGGCTGTTCCATTTGAAATGAGCAAGTTAGTTAGTCTTCTTCCGAAAATTGATCTCATTGGTTATACTGAAAGCTATCTTACTTTAACTTTTTTGTTATATATATATATACAGGGTGACTTCGAAGTTGAGTCATTTATTTTAACAGTGAGTAGATCTGATGAAAAGAAATGTTTTTTTCCTTTATCATTTTTCTGGTAAAATTAGAGTAACAAAGTTATAGCCCTTTGGAAGTTTGAATACCGCCCTGTCTCAATAATAATATTATGTGCTCGTGTTTGGCAACAACGGATATAATCCGCCTTATCGGTTCATCGCATCGGAAACAAAAAAACGAAAGAATTTGGAACGATGTTTTTACAATTATTTTATTCAGTTGTATACAGTCAGTGTCAGTCGGTAACGCGTGAGTGAATAGTGGTGTCTGTTGCGTGGCTCAAACGAAATAAAAAATGGCACATGTTTATGCGGATCGGTTTCCCAATCGAGTGCAACCAACCTCTCGTGCCTTTGTTAATGTAGTACAACGGGCTCGTGAATCAGGTGACTTAAGACCTCACAGGGGACGGCATGCCGGTGCTCCAAGACCGCACGATCAAATACAGGTCCGCACTTGTCGGGAGGATACTTTATAAAACAAGGTAAACAAATTTTTTTATTTTTTTTTATTTTTACACACATATTTTGGTTCATCTTCCTTCTACAATCATTATCTGAAAATTAATGACTCAACTTCAAAGTCACCCCTGTATATATAACTGAAGTGGAAAGGGGCTCGTATATCCCTCCTTCTGAGGCAATATTTTAAAACATGTTATCTTTATTCACGTATATTGTACAGACAGAAATTCAAATATTATGCATAAATCATTATCCCTTCTGCATGTGTATCACTATTTGAGTACACAGTAATTTCTATGAAATGGTAATTCTACAGTTCGGTTTCATTATTTTCTTGTGTGTGTATACACATGTTAACAATGGCTCTGCACTATTTATAAGCAACGATCTATTTTATGACAATTTCATGAAAATTACCCCCTGAATCTAATCGATATGGCAAACAAATGTCCCATAAGTGCTAACGCATGTACAATGACTGTGCTCTTTAGTCCAAGACCTTTGAATTACAACAACCGCAATTTTTAATCAAAAACAAATTTATTGACGGATTCGGGTTCACAATGAAATAGCGTTTGTTGTGCAAAAACACATCAGTCAACTTGACCGACTTCTGCTCCTCCAAAGCTTGGGAATGGTACTCGTATTGAGATGTCCACACAGGAAAAATGGCGGATGGATAAATCTGGGTAGCGAGGAGGAGAACGAACACCACCAAACCTGGAAATTAGGCAACCACCAGAAAGGGCAAATAACGTTCATCGCTGCCTGGTCTGTGTGGGCGGTCGCCCCATCCTGCTGGAACCACACACGTCGGAATACGAGGGATGTCTTTTAAGTTTTGCATATAGAAACATAGTAGGCCGCGCGGATCGAACGTCAGTACTGAATCTTAACCTCACTCTTTAGTAAACTTAAATTCAAAGTTTCACAACAATACGTGCAGTGTTCTCACTAGAGTGTACAGCATTGTTAGTGGTGATGAATCGTGGATTTACTGTTATGAACCAGAAAATAAACGACAGTCGGCTGTTTGGGTGTTCCAAGGTGAAGGAAAGCCAACAAAGGACATCCGTTCTCGAAGTGTTTCGAAAAAGATGGTCGTGACATTTGTATTGCAACAATTCCTCTTAATGAGCAAAGAACCGTTACTGCGGATTGGTATACCACCATTTGTTTGCCAAAAGTCATCACCGAGCTTCGAAAAATCAACCCCGAAAGAACAATCATCCTCCACCAAGACAAAGCAAGCTCGCACACAGCCCAAAAAACAAGGCAGTATTTAACGAAAGAAAACGTAGACTTATTTTACCATCCTCCATATAGTCCCGATCTAAGCCCTAACGATTTCTTTACATTCCCGAAAATTAAAAACAGACTGCGTAGTCAAAGGTTCCAGTCACCAGAAGAAGCAGTTGACGCATTCAAACATGCCGTTTTGGATCGCATGCAGATGTGTATTAATCTTCGTAGGGAATACTTCGAAAAACAATAAAGTCATTTAAAACTACCTACCGGGTTGTTTTATTTCCATATGCAAAACTTTAAAGACATCCCTCGTATAGTGGTTGTTGTGATATCGTCTGTTTTTACCAAAAAGTAAGCTAAAATTTTGTTTTGTAGCTACAATCTGAGTTTGATTATCGTACAATACGCTGTAAAAAACTGTTTTAATCTGTGAATTCTGATTTGCATGTTAGGATGTTGGCTTGGGATCCCTCGTAGAACACGTCGTCGTCGTGTAGATGCATCTCGTCGAGCAAAGAACCTGAAGATATCTTCAAAAAAAAAAATTGCGCCAAGTAGGTTGACTCTGGAACTCCAAGGAACACTGTCACTCTGTTAAGTTAGACCTTCTGAGAAAAAAAATGCTGCTAACATATATACTAGGTGACATAGAAAGAAGAACACCCAATATATATACTAAGTGACATATAAATCCGAACACCCAGTTTAAATGGTTTTATTTTAATAAAAGTTTGTGAATGTATTTATCTTACTGTAAATAACAAGTGAAAAAATTTTCAGCCTTATCAGTTGGACATTCCGGTTTTTATACTGCTTTTTTTTAATTCACTAAAAATGAATATTTCAGCCGCAGTAAAGAATCAACGTTGGCGGATTTTCGTTCTTGACATCCTTTACGATCGGTTACGATGCCTAGAGTACGGAGACCTGTACGATTTCGTCAACTTAGTGAGTTTGATAGGGGCCGTATAGTGGGACTTCGGGAAGCTGGACTTTCTTTTCGGGAAATTGCAGTTAGAGTGCAAAGAAGTGTAGACACTGTGGTTAGGTGTTGTCAGGCATGGCTTCGAGAAGGCCGTACGTAAAGAGCAAGGGGCACTGGACGCCGCCGTAGAACAACAGACCGTGAAGATCGCCGCCTAAGATTATTGGCCTTAAGGGACCGTTTCTCCACTACCAGGTCCATTGCAAATGAATGGTTTGCAGAACACGGAAGACCTATTGGCATGCGAAGTGTTTACCGACGAATGAGAAGTTTTGGCTTGTTTTCATACCGACCACACGGGGTCCTCCCTTTAACTCGAGAACACCGACGTAATCGCCTTGAGTGGTGCAGACAACGGTCACTCTGGGATCAGGAATGGAACAGTATTGTCGATTTTGTTTAGGCATGCACGATGGTCGTGCCAGGGTTAGAAGGCGACGTGGTGAAAGAAGGAATCCACAGTTTTTTGTTGAAAGACATGTTCATCACACTGTTGGAGTTATGGTTTGGGATGCTATAGCTTATGGTTCCAGGTCACCTTTAATCTTCATCAGAGGTAACATGAACGCGCAGCGTTATATCCACGAAGTTCTAGAACCCCATCTTTTACCCTATCTTGACACCTGGCAGATCCAACTTTCCAACAAGATAATGCCCAACTACATGTTGCAAGAGTCACAATAGACTTCTTTCAACATAATGATGTCACATTGTTACCATGGCCACCAAGATCTCCCGACTTATC